CCTAAAAAATCCTAAAAACGCCTCCAGAAAGCCACCCCTCAACCTAATTGTAAGAACCCAAAACAAGCCGTATAATATGCTCCCACCCATTTGTTGTTATAATAAATAAAAAATAACGGATTTTTGAAGCCGAAAAACAATTAAAAATTTATATTTTTTTCATTTGTTTTTTAACCGCTAGAGTGGACAATGGCTATTGTGATTTGCATATATTATTTTTCAAGTCGAAAAACAGATTTTGCCCGAGAGGTTTAGGGAGTTTATTTAGTTAGGGTAATGCCACAATTTATTTGAAAATGTCTTAATACTATTCTAGTAAAGTTTTATAATGCTAAAAAGTTCTGTCGTTTTTTAACTTACGAAACAGTGCTAAAAAACGACAAGATTTACCTTAATACATTCAAAACTACCATATCATACAATACCTTCTCCGAAAGGGTATGGCATGGAAGTGTAGAGCATGTAAAGGTAGGGCATGAAAGAGTAGGACGTAAAAAGAATAGAACAGTATTAAAAGTAGAAGCTTCTAGGAGCATGGCATGGTAGTGTAGGCCATGCTAAACGTAGGGCATAGCAAGATCAGGCAACCTGCCCTATTCTGCCCTACTCCACTCGGCCCAATCCTACTCCGTCTCACTCTACCATACCCTGACCTACCCTACGGTACCATACCCTAATCTACCTTAACCTATCCTATTACGCCCTTCAACACCGTACTCTACCCTACCCTACCATATCTTTACTCTGTTCGACCTTATCAAACTGCCCTATAAAAAAAGATAAGGTTACAGTAATCCTAAAAAGCGTAGGCTTAGACTACCCATTACCGTTAATTAAAACACAAGCCTACAGTAATTTAAAATTGAAAATGCAGTGAATTTCCGTATTCTTAAACCTTGTAAATAAACCACAATGAATTGAAGTTTTTCTTCTGAACAAGCCACAACAAACCGTCAGCCATTCTTTTCGAAAAACCGAAAAAAACTTGAAAATTGAAAAACAAATGGTTCATAATCAATTTTTTGTCACTGATCTTACATTTTCATCCCTTCAAAATAAAAATACAACATATTGTAAACACTGACGACCGTATTTTACATTTCTTTAAATTTAAAATTTTTAAAAACATCTCCCCAAAAAAATTAATAATTTTTACCCCGCCCCGTTTATGTACAAATAACAAATATACAAAAAAATTTTTCCAGGCCCTACCTTTAAAGCCTCAAACCACTTTCCCCTACTCATTCTCTCAATCCAAATTTACCCTCCCGGACCATTTCGCAAAAACGTTCATATAAAATTTTTTAAAATTATTTTTAACGCCAAAACATTACCTTGGCACGTTTATACTGGCCATAAAACAGCAATTAAAAATACCAAAGTGATTACATTCAAATTATTGTCTCAAGCACTTGTTTGCCTAACATAGGTTAAGTTTGCCTTATAACAATACAATTTTTTTAAAATTATTAAATATTTTAAAAATTTCAAGATGTTATACAGGAGTTACACAGTGTGTAACTTACACTGTAATGTATAAAAAACCAAAAACAAAGTAAATAATTTTTGGTGTTCGGCCGAAAAAATGTTGAGACGAAATTTGGGCATAAAAGAAAAGTGAAGACGATTAACAAACTCTCGGCTTAAGAACTCGAGAGTAAAAAAAAGCATACTACAGACACGCAAAATGAAGAACGCTTTAACATGGAGAATGTTAACTGCCGAGCTTAAATTATTCATTTTATCGTTGTTTCAAACTAGGGTTAGAGATATGGCTAGAACTGTAGCTAGAGCTAAGTCCAGAGCTAGGAAGAAGCCTAGAGCTAGGGCTATTGCTAAAGCTATGGCTGAAGCTATGGCTATCGCTAAGGCTTGGGAGAATGCTAGGTGCTATGGCTACGGCTAAAGCTATGGTTAGGGCCTTTTAAATGCTGTTATTTTAGCAACCAATATTGTTAACAAACTTATGTTAATCTACTCCACCTATAATAAATAGAATTTGTCAAGTTTTTGATTTTTGGCAACAAAAATTATATTATCCATGACATCCAAAAACGAAAGTTTCAGTCCTATTGTAAGCCGATAATTATAAAATAATAAAAAATAAACCTCTACCATCCTAGTAAAACATAGTTTTACCTATTATAAATTCCATGAAAACCAAAAAATTATATTATCCATGAGATCTGATGCCGCGCTAGCTCATAATCAATTTTTCCAATTCATAACGGTACAGTAAAATAGATAATTAACAGAAGAATAAATTAAAACGCAGATATTACCTAAATATCTATAAAAATGCGAAAAAAAAGCCAAAAAACATCAAAAATCGAAAAAATATATTATCCATGACATTGATGCCAAAAATTGTTCACCCTCAATCTTTTGCCCCAAAAATCAAGCGGTGATTAACTAATAATAATCTACAACAAATTTAGAACTAAAAACTTACTAAAACAACCAAAAGATATTCAAAAAACTCGAGAAACCTTCAAAATTATATTATTCATAACATATGATGCCTCACTAGCTCGAAATCAAAAATTCTAGTTGATAAAAGTAAAGTAAAATACAATAATTAACAGACAACTAAAGTAAAATGCCATTATTACCTAAATATCAACGAAAAAGCAATAAAACCAAAAAAATTATATTATCCATGAGCTCGTGAGCATGAAATGAGCCAAAACTTTCACAAATTTTTTACAAAAAATATTGAAAAAGTAAAAACTTACATTTACTAGAGCTCAAACAGAGTAACATTAACTAATTTCAATAGAATTTCAACAGATATATTGAGGTAGAAACACATTTTTTCATTTTCCAAGCTTTTTTTTGTGAAATGACACATTTTTTGGACGTGATGACGAGTTTTTTAGACGAAACAGACGCAAAAATTGGAAATTAAAACTAAAAATCAAATTTTTTAAAAATTTTTATAAATATTTTCAAACATTGTTCAAAAAATTATTTTTGTTACCTAAAATATAAAATTTTAGCAAAAACTTTGTTTCCAAGCCCAAAAAACCGCTTAAACCTCTCCTCATCCCCATCCCTCCCACATGAACTTTTAGGTACTTAACCCTTTTTAAAACAGTTTGTTGAGAGAAAAGAGAAAAGCACGCAATAAGCATTCAGTCCAGTCCATTCATCCATAACAGCACTCATTTGAACCTTTTTTTTGGGTGCTTAAAAAAAGCGCCGCCCCGGGCTTCAAAATGGAGGAACACTTTTCCCTTTTGTCCGAAATTATTTTACAAAAACAAAAAAAAACGTTTGAATTGTTATGACAAAGGATTTAAATTTAGATTTCTTGAAAAAGGATAATATATCAGGCTAAACCAAAAGCAGCGGGACACTTTTTAGTTAAAAAAAAAATTAAAAGTGTCCCGCTACTTATGGTTCCACCTAATTATGGAAAGTATTAGGCCTACAATTGTGAAATTGCGTTTTTGATCAACCATTTTGACGAAGGCTAGCCGAAAAACCAACCCCCAGCCCTAGCCCCTGACTCCTAGCCCAAAGCCTTAGCAGCCCGGAGGCCTAGCATCCCAGAGCCCTAGCAGCCCAGAGCCCTAGCCCCAGATCCCTAGCCCCATAGCTCTAGCCCCAGAGCCCTAGCTCCACAGCTCTAGCCCCAGCGCCCTAGCCCCAGAGCCCTAGCCCCAGAGCCCTATCCCCTGAGCCCTAGCCCCAGAGCCATAGCCCCATGGCCCTATCCCCTGATCTCTAGCCCCAGAGCCTTAACTTAGCCCTAGCCATAACTATATTGTTTTTTTATTTGTCCTTGTCATACTCTAGCGCTAGGCTAGGCTAGTCCAATCATGCCCTCATTAAACTTATAAAATCACACGTTCTCCTAGTAGCCCTATTTCCAAAACTAGTCAACTAGCCTAAAAATAGTCCCAAAATTACGACGAAAGCCGAGCCAAAAACTTTTCACGGACAGTCCGTTTGTTTTATGGGTCTCCGGAGGCTGAGGCGAAACGAGGATATTCCGGTTTTATGTGCTCTTTAAGAACTCATTTCTTTCCCAAGTTTCTTTACAAATTAATTTCATTCGGAGCGATCGTAAACATGCTACGTGAGCTCGGAGGTGTCAAAAAACGATGGACAACTTTGACTTTTAAAATTTTTGAAACTGATATTTTACGGCTTAAAATAGTGCTTTTTAGACCTGGCAATCGGACTGGGCAAACCAGTTTCTTTAGTCCAGTCCGGTTCGTTACACAATTGTTTTAGCCTGGTTTGACTACAGCTCAACTAGGGGTGAAGGGCCGGGCCTATCTTGAACTAAAATTGAAATAGTCAGGCTCAGAATGTAAGTCCGGGCTCAAAAAAATTTAAAAATTTTTTAAAACGGGCCGTGCCGGGCCAATTCTAGAATTTTTTGATTTGCCCGCCGTCCTAAAAAAGAGAATTCAAAAAACCGGCCGGGCTTAAACGTTGGGCCCCGGGCCTGGGCCGGGCTTCCAAAGTGGGACTTGTCCGGCCCGTTTCACACCCTAGGCTGGACTGATTTCAGCAACAGAAAACCGTCCTAAAACCCAAAACCCAGCTTGTTTTTGAGTTGAAAACGAAACAAAACAAAGATAAATTGGAAATAAAGCAGCTGTTTCAGCCACGATTATGTCTTTTCAATTTGGCGCAAGAATCTAATACGACATTGGGGAGAAAATGTCATTTCGCTTTAAACTCGTACTTGTCTTTCATTAAACATATTGTTGTAATAATGCGGTTTTCATTAGTTGGAGGTACAATATGGGGAAGTGTAATTTTGAGTCAAAGAAATATGAAAGAAAAATTGCTTTTTAAATGTCGAAGCTCTTTTATAGCAAACAAATTCAAAACTTTTAAACAATCGTACAAGGGTTTGTTTCCCTGTAATCTACATATATGCTGACTTTTTATATTATAGTTAACGTATTTATTTAAACCAAAATGGTAAAAAACAAAAATTATTAAAAGCAATAAATTATGCTAAAGATGATGTAAATTAGTTAAGCTAGTCCATCAGTAAAACCCATTTGTCTACTAATGCCTGAAGGAACATAATCTTGATTATAAAATCCAGTAGAACCAAGACCTGCATTTTGTCCGTTAATTGCTTGGTTTGTGTATGGATATAATGGTGAGCCATATTGACCGTTAATCTGGTACGACGCTGAAACAAAAAATGCATTTTTAGATTGTGATTTCAAATGTTAGGCTGTGATTTAAAATTTGCATATGTTCCGACAATATTGGACCTGTGAAAAGACCAAGTTCAGTTTTTCGGTCCGGCTCATGGTCCGGGCTTTAGCTTAAGCTTTGGCCATCGGGCTTACATGTGATAGCTCGGCTCGTTCGTTTCAAATTTGCTTCAGAACGGTTCAGGGCTAGCTTTAAAATTGGATTACCAAGCTCGGCCCGGCTTCTTCCTGTCCCAGCCTAAAGCAAATTTTCAAAAACCCAGGCCGAAAAATTAGGTTCGGCCTTTTCACAAGTATAGGTCTGTCTTGGCTATTTACACAAATACACTCAAATAATAGCCAGAACAACATGTGCAGTTTGAAAAAAATTAAGTTTAAAACCTACCACTTTGTCCACCATAGACTTGTGCATTTCCACCATATTTCCCTTGGGCAACTTGGTTATAAGGGTAAACCTGTTCTCGTTCTATCTCTCCATGCCGACCGTGATATCTGTTTGATTGGGTTGGATCTGGACGATACTGACCTAGAATTCCATACTTTTGTCCATCAATAATATCAGTTTGACCTTGTTGACCGTACTGACCGTTTTGTGAACCAAGAGTACCATATTGACCGTTCTGTGTACCAAGAGTACCATACGGACCGTTTTGAGAACCCAGAGTACCATACTGACCTTGTTGACCAAATTGACCGTTTTGTACACCAAGAGTACCATACTGCCCGTTTTGTGTACCAAAAGTACCATACTGACCTTGTTGACCATACTGACTATTTTGTGTACCAAGAGTACCATATTGCCCTTGTTGATTGACATCAACAGATACGTAGCGTTCTTGTGGCCGCAGGCTATACCACTCACGTTGACCGTATCGATTGATACCCCATTGGCCGTATTGTCCGTAACTTGGTAATTCAGTTGTTACAGGCATGGCTGAGGTTGTTCCAAACCCGTCAATGCTTGAACTGTCTACATTTTCATTTACTTGACTGTTGATGTTAGGACTAATAAGCTGACCATTCACGTTTTCTGGTACTGTTGGAATAACGTTTTCTGGTACAGTTGGTTTACTTCTACCATTCAAACCATGTTGTGTAGATCTAAAAGCATTAGGTACCTCGACAGTTTCTGGCGCTGAAGTTATTCCAAAGTTGGCCAAGATCTTTTCTGGCAACTTCTCAATCTTTTTTGCAATTTCTCCTAAACTGCCAAGGCTAGCCGCATTGTCACCAGTCTCTACAGTACCTGATTCTAAAGCTGACCCAAAGAGGTTGCTGACAGCCGTCTGACCAAAAATTTGTTCTACAAATGGCTTGGCCATTTCTGATTGTGGGTTGGCGTAAACTGAAGATAGTTCAGAAGGCAAACCGCTTCCAGTTATAGATGGTATATCTTCTGAGTTTGATGGTTTGTAATGTACACTTTGACGAAGTTGTTCAATAATTGTGACTGGTTCACCATGAGAATCAATTTCGCCGGTGTAAATTTGGCTGTGAGGGTAGATTGATGCTGAAGAATCATGTTGAGGTAAGTCAACTGTAACTTGTGAATGTTTAGACAAGATATCACTTTCAGGAAAGTCACGGAGAACAGTTCCAAGATAACTTAGATCGTCTAGTAATTCAGAAAGTGGACGTTTAGTTTCATAATAACTCGTTGAAGTTGAGCCATGCTCGTCACCTTGATGGTCTTCTTGTAAGATGTTAACCATTTTTCCATGTTGTAATGTGTCTTCTTCGCCAGAGCCTTCTTGATTGTCTTTAAATGACACAGCTTCAACGTTTTCACTGTGACGACCAGAATGATCGTGCAACACATTTTCATAAGTTTGCTGATCATCACTTTGTTGATCATTATCTGGTTGATTAGTTAGTTCATGTAAATTAAAGTTTTCAAGTTGTCTATAATCTAAAGCTTGATCATAGGAAAGAAGTTGACACTTATAGCATTCAATCAGTAGTAGTAACAGTGATAGGTAGTAAAAATACATAGTAAATAGTTTTCTTAAAAATATAGTAAAGCATAAATTTACATAAATTACTTTGAAGTAAAGAAAATTTGGAATTTAGTAAATGAATGTTAGGTTTACTTTATATTGGAATGCCAAATACAATTGGTGTTATAAAGCTAATATAAAGCGAGTAAAATCAAGAGGTCATATGCGACAAAGAATGGCGTAAATAACCTAAACAGGTGGGAAAATTAAGCGTACCTAGAGATTAAGATGACCTTCTGCGTGAAATTCTTTGTCTGTCACGTTATGGTCACTTCAAATAAGCTATTAAGCGTTGTCTATAAATTTACCAATTTGATGGGAACATAAATGACTGTTTATACTATACTGCCCGCAGAAATTATTGACCGCCCTACTAACGTGGCAATGAGTAAACCGATTTGGATCAAATTTTGTATATTGTATACCAATACTAATCTATTAGCTCTAGCTCTAGCACTTTATTTTCATTAATAGTTTACGTATTTTACATTTTTTACATTTTAGAAGCTTTTACATATTATAAAGCAACTATTGTTTCTGTCATTTTAGAGTTTAGATACCGGTTTTTTGTAAAGCATGTTTGGATAGAAGCGTGGTGTAGGTTGAGGTAAAACGTCGTTATTTTGAAATGCTCCTCGTGACTTTTGTAGATGATACTCTTTGGCTTCGTCTAGCTCCAGAACTGGGGTTACACAGGCGTCCAAGTCTAAAATATATCAGTCTTTCCGGAAAAGAATGTGACAAAACTGCACAGTGCAGTTTGAGGGAATCGCTGTCGCGCCGAGAATTGGGCGACAAGCGACATGGTCTGCGACGGCCGCTTGCACCCTGCGACATCCCAATGGGAATCGCAATGTGCAAAGCTTTGCGATAGACTGTGATGTCGCGATTCAAATGGCGATGCGACAGCGTGTCGCGGTTGTCGCAACGCTCAAGCCAACACTGTGTTCAATGGAAGGATTGCGACAAGATTGTTTTGTCTGTCGCAGTTCCCTGACTTCTGCGACAACCGACCGGTGGGACACTGAAGGGATTGCACTGTGCAGTCTTTCCTAACATCGCTGGCTGTATCGGGTGATCGCGCAGGAAATCTGCACTGTGCAGCGGAATAAAAAGGGCGCGATTTTCCCAGGGACTGCACAGTGCAGCCTTCCACCCTGTCCAAGTTTTGGACAGGGTGGAAGGAGGGGGGGGGGGTTTTTTTCTTTAGGGTAGGTAGATCTGTAAAGGGGATGGGACTTAGTTTGGGCACCTGGTTTAAAAAAAAAGACAAGCCGAAGTAGTTCCAAAGCCGAACCAAATTTTGGGCTAAAGCTAAGCTAAAGTCAAAGTCAGGGCAAGTTTGAACCAAAGCCGGGCTAAAACCGGGACAAAAACCGGGCCAATGCTGTTCCAAACCTGAACCAAAGCCAAGTTAAGACTTGGCTAAAGCCGAGCTAAAACCTGGCCAAATCTAGGCCAAATTTGAGCCCGAAGTTGCGTCAAAGCCTAGCGAAACCGGGCCATACCAGGTGTTCGAAGCACAGCCAAAGCCGTGTCAAAACCAAGCTGAAGCTAAGCCAAAACCGGGCCGGAATTAAACCAGGCCTAGTAGGTCTAATAGATATAAGTACTCGTGTTCATTTAAAACTTTTTTTTGATTTATTGTTAATTTTTGTATTATTTTCAACAATCTTACCGTCAAAGATAGCCGTCCACTGGTCGCGTGTTTTTGTTTTGAATGCGGTTTCCATTAAAGGTAAGAGTGTTTTGAACGACGTCAAATGTTTTGGGTTGATGTTCAAGACTGAAATTGTTTTCTACCGTGATCTTTAAACAATTTTTGATAAAACGAGGAAATGACAAACAAGCCAAGAATTTGGATACTATAATTAAAATTATCAAACAATGATAGGACGGGCTGCAACATTGATCTTTTGCATTCAGATTATATTATCTTTTTATGTATGCTTTGCATCATATTATGTAGGAAAACTTAGTTTTTAAGTCTAAACTACGGAATTTCCTTTAACTTGAAGTTTTCAAATTCTTTTTTAAAATAATTTTAATGATTATCATACCATACTGTAATTAAAAAAAGTTTTAATACAAAGCATACGACAAACTATGATAACAAGCGTTTTTTAACGCACTTTTATGTCTGAACAACAATTTTAAAAGTGTATTTTGATAAAAGTTTTTTTTTCAATTTATAAAAAATAAAAGCGTTTTATTAAAAAATGGGTACTATAAATGATAATGTACTTTTAAAACTGCCAATTTTAAAAGTACATGACTTGCCTCGTAAAATTTCGATTTGATACTTTGGCTCCAGCGCACCAACAGCAATCATTTTATCATCTTTTGTTTTGTATACTCTGAAAATTAAATTTTATAAGCCGTAGTCTTAGCCATAACTCTAGCCTAGACCTAGAGCCCAGAGCCTAGAGCCCAGAGCCCAGAGCCCTAGCCTTGGCCTTAGCCTTGGTCCTAGTTTTGGTGCTAGCCTTGACATTAGCTTTAACCTTGGCCTTAGCCTTACCTGTACATAGGATAATTTCCTCTAAAAACACCATAATCTTCATTCCAAAGCACTTTGTCCTTCATATGAGCGAATATAAACGAACTCAAATACATTAAAGCATCTGTCATACTAACATCGACAATACCACCATTTCCAGTCCTTTCCCTCTCATGTAGCGCTGCTACAATACCAAAAGCACCGGTCAGGCTACCGGCCGCAAAATCAGCTAAAATGTTGGCTGGCGGCCAAGGATTACCTTTGTTATTAGCAATAGTAACGACTGGTAAAATGCCAGATAGAGCTATACAATTAAGGTCATGGCCAGCTTTTTGACTCATCGAGCCAGTCTGGCCATAGCTGCTAATACGACATATGATTAGCCGAGGATTTCTGCTCATAAGCTCAATTGGGTCCAAACCCATGACTTCGAGTGTTCCTGGACGGTAAGGGTCAAGTAGAACGTCGGCTTGACTGATCATGTCTTTTATGGTTTCTAGCTCTGACTTGTAGTCTAAGGTGATGATTTTCTTGTTTCGCAGAAAGTTGGCGTTAAAGGATGAAGATTGTTTCTAAAAACGTTTTTTTTGAAAAAGTATTAAAAAAATAAAAAAGCTATGTCATACTTTGCCTTGTGCCTACTTAATATCAAAGCCTTCGCCTAGCACTAATATCACCACTTTTGTAATAGAAACTCCATACTGTTATAAACATTCTGTTTTTTACAGAAAAAATTAAGTTTACTTTGTAATTTTTTACTTACAGATATTGTTGTAACATCAGCCCCAAAATCCGCCAATATTTGGCCACAAAATGGCACGGGTGCTACACCAAACAGTTCAATAACCTTGACGTCATTCAAGAAATTCATTGTTAAAGCCCACGTTTATTCTAAAAAAGTAAAGTTTTTGTACTTCTGAATAATATACAATATACACATGTATATTGTATATTATACACGATTGTAATTGATCAAAAAGTTAGATTTTTTTTATAAATTTTGCGAAATTCCATACAAACATTAAAAGACAATATATATTAGACTACAACTATCAGATCGCTACAAACGATTTAAATTAATGGGCGGAACAATTGTTTTAAATAAACCCAATTTTTCTTTTTAGAAGTGTTTTTATAACTCACCTATACATAAAAAACAGTGTTTTTGTATTAAATGGGTTTGGCTCTAGTCCTAGCAAGACCTAAAAATGAACCTACTAAGCCCGGTCTCTTAAAACGTTTAGACTTAAAAAACCACGCTTGTATTTTAGCATAATTTTATAAGTAACTTTTTTTAAATATTAACTTTTTTTCTTGGTTTCCGACTTTATAAAAACAAAAAAGACTTCATTTATTAACATTGTAAATGCGTAAACAATTTTAGGTACTTTGAAATTGATTAAACCTACATGTTGTCGACCAAAGGGCATGATACCGTTCCAATCAAAGGATTGTGTTGTTGTTTTTCAGAATTTATCTTTTTGATAAACGCTTATTACCAAAATTGATAATTTTGGGTGTATATGCCTCATCCTATCTGATAAAAAATATATCTTAATTTTGAAAAATTTTTGAAATTAATTGCGATTAGACTTGTAAAAGACCGGCTCGAGCTCGGTTTTTCAGATTGGCCTTTCAAAACTTCTTTTGCTTGTCTTGTTTCTTTACATATTTATGTCCATTAGGTAAAGCCAACCAGGGGTTAAATAACTTTTAATATTGGTTTCTTTCGAAGCTTTTTGTAAATTAAAGCATTTGTTGTGTGACCTGAGCCACAACCCTAAGATCTTCATTTAAGTTCAGCTTGGAGCGGGATAAACTGATGCACGGCCTTTCTTACTGGACCTTTTTTCAAGTTTAGCTAAGACTAGAGCCTGAGCTAGTGCTAGGGTTAAGGCTGGGGTCAGAGCCAAAATTAGAATTATATCCATGGCTTTATTATTATGCTTTTTACTCTAGAAAAACCCATAAAATCCAAAATTTTTTAAAAATTTATTGATGATCTAAAGCATAGTAGTATAAATAAATTATTAGTACAGTTAGATACAATTGATTTGAGAAGGTAGTTCAATTAAGATTAATGAAATATACACAAATGGCCATTTGTTCTTTGGAGGTACAACAAAATTGCGCCTAATGTGAGAAGAATACTGTAGAATACAATTTCAATTTTAAAAAGTAAAAAACAATGTAATACCCATATCAAAACTCAAATCTCTTGTACCACGCATTCTTCTCCGCATGTCTAATAAAGTATTTCCTCAACTCAGTAAAGACCAGTAGTACCACCCCAACAACAGGTCCAAACAGCCATACAAAAGGTGGTGGCACACTAATACCCAGCAACGTCCTCAGCGCTGGCGTATAGATTAACAAGCATAAGATACTGACTTCAATAAAAACGGCTACGAAAACAGCGTAGCTTGTCAGACCGTGCCGGAACAGTGATACTCGTCGCGTTGTGCACATAAAAATGTGAAAGACTTGAGCAACAACTAATGTGATTTGATAGGCGGCGGCTGCTTGGCCGCGAACTTCCATTTGCTGGTCGGCTGTCATGATACGGTCTGATAACGGTGTGGTCAAGTTTTCGGCTTCACCGTGCCAGAAATCGCTGTGAGAAAAAAATAAATTGCCTGGAGGCATGCCGTGAGAACTGAAGTTTATTTTTTTAGTTATTGTAGAGATAAGGCAAAGACGCGAAGGGTAAAATAGGTTAAGGTAGGGTAAGTTAGGATACGAGGGTAAGGTAAGACAGGGTAGATAAGGTAAAGTAAAATACGGTCAGGTAAAGAGCGGATAACATAAAACTGATGATGTTTAACTTACTAATACACAGTAAAGTAAGAAGCAAAGCAGCCAATTGTGATTATAGTACCAATACAGAGATAACTATAGATCATAAGAGCTGCGCTGACCAATGTTTGTTTCTGTGGTCTTGGTGGACATTTCATAATGTCTCTTTCTGGCTTTTCATAGGCCAAAGATATGGCTGGTGGTAGTTCACAGGCCAAGTCAATGCTCAAAATCTATAAGATATATTTTTAAATTAAATTAAATCAAATTAAAATTTAAAAAAATTAAATTTAAAAAATTAAAAATTTATATTTTTGTTTTTACCCTACCTGCAAAGGAGACAATCCCAACGGTAACCCCAAAGTAAAATTTGCAATAATAGGACACACTTCAGGCCACAAGTGAGCCAAGGTATAAGCAATCGATAACTGCATATTTTCAAACAATATCCTGCCTTCAGCAACGCCATGAGTAATGGCTGCAAATGTATTGTTGTCTAACATAATATCGGCCGCTTTTCTGGCTATATCTGTACTAAAGGATTTGGTCGATATTCCAATATTGGCTTGGGAAATAGCTGGAGCATCGTTGACACAACCGCCAGTTAGGGCCACAATTTCATTGCGTCGTTGGAGGGCTTCGACTATTTGTAGAGATTGTTCTGGAGTGGTTCTGAAGGTTAATGGGAGTTAATGCTGATTATATATCTTACCTTGCACCTACACCATTCTCGTCCTACTCTCGCCCTACTGCGACCCTACTCTTGTCCGAATTTCGTCTTACTCTTGCCTTATCCTTTTTCTACCCAAGCCATACCTTTGCCCTACCCTTGTTCTACCCTTGTCTTACCCTCGTCCTACGATTGCCCTAATCTTGTCTTACCCTTCTCTGCTTTCGCCTTATCTTTGCGTTACTCTCGCTTTCCCTGACCCTATCCTCGCCTCGTCTTTGCCTTAATCTCTCCCTACTCTAGCTTTATCCTTGTCTTGCTCTACCTTTGCCCTATCCTTGCCCCGCTTACAGTACTTTACCTTACAGTCAATCTGCTTTCCGCTCTTCTTCATCTTACCTAGCAAAAACAAGATACGGTTTTTCCAACAAAGTATTCCAATCATCCAGAGTCATTCCATCAATAGTTCTACCATGTACAACAGCCCAATTTGATCCGTGTTTACTGTCGAAATCTCTGTCGAAATTCATTTTAATGTTTTCAATCTTTTGGTTAATCAACCCAATACGGCAAGCTAAAGCCATGGCTGACATTGGGTGATCCCCAGTGATCATGTGTAGTTTCAGACCAGCTTCTTTGCACATTTTGATCGCTGCTGAGCTTTCTGGTCTTGGTGGGTCAATTAGGGACGACATGCCCAGAAAGACTAGGTTGTGTTGAGGGAAGGTGTCTTGAACTGCACTGATTTTGCCATCTTTGTGGGTTACAAAGAATTTGACGGCAAAGGCGATCACTCTTCCACCGTGCTTGCTAAAGGTCTCTAGGGTCAGCTGAAAGTTTAGGTAATAAAAATGACTTTAAATTTTAGTTGATTACAGATTTTAAATTAAAAATTCAAATTTTAAAACTTTTCGTTAATAAGTCGGTCAAAAAGTCTGCAGAACTTACATTAAAATCCCTCTCGAAAACCGGTCCAATATCGTTAATTACATCGTTCTTCATGTACTGATTACATCTTTCGATGACCACTTCTGGAGCGCCTTTTATCATCACAACATGCACTCGCTGATCTTCTGTAACACCATCATGTGGGTATAACGCACAGTCAATTTTGTCTTCACATCTGGCTACCAAAAGTTGCCAACGACGGATTGAGTTGAACGGGATTTCATAAATTGGCTAAAAAATTTCTTTAATTTTTAAAAATGAGTGTCCTGCTTTAGGCTAAAATTGTTTTATTAACCAAAAAAAATTTTTAGTTTTGAAAACGGATCCACTCAGCACAGCAAAACCCTGACGCAAGCCAGAGCGTGAGAGATCGAAGGCCAGACTTTAATAAATGCTCCATTGGCTCAGCTTAGGTCTCGCAACAAAAGATTTAACAACTATTTTTTTTATATTTTACCGGCTTTTCAAGCTCCGAAATGACCCGCTCGCACTAACCTCTGCCTATAAAATAGAAAAAATTATCTTACCTTATACTTTTGGCCCAAACTACTGATAGAAAAGTTGACTTTCTTCAAATAGCTATATATAGCTGCATCAGCTGACTCCGTTGCCGATATCTGCTTCATTTCGATACTATTATCTTCGTAGTATTGTGCCTTCTCAACGTCTTCAAAGTCCAGCTCTCTGACGTTAACAACATCGTCTTGAAAGCGAACTGCTCGAGCGAATTCTGGCTTTGGTTCTTGGATTACTTCCTTGCCAGTCTTTGGGTGGCTAAAGAGATTCTTAGGTTTTAAATTAGGGTAGGGTAACTTACACAACAGTAAAAAGCTTGGTCCTTTGCATAGAAGACTGTCTCTCCCTGGTAGCCGCGGCCAAACTAGCCGCCCTGGCTCTTCTGACGGAGAACGATGGCCGTTCTCTCCACTTAGAAACTCTGTTACATATACCCATGACAGCGTGAATCATTTCCATCGTACTGGACTTGGGCTCCAACTTCATTTTCTTCCTCATTTCCTTGATCTCAGCCTTTGTCAGTGGAACCAAAAAACATTCATTGTTTAGGTAATACTGTACTTACCTTTAGTATTATGTCTGTCGTACCATAGATCGGTAACAGTTAGTTTGTTTTCAGTTAACACGCCAGCCGCGTTTGTTGCAATTACAGTTGCAGCACCGAGTTCGTCAATTACATCCAGATTTCTAATGTATATGTGTTTTTTGGCTAGCCTTTTAGCTATGATAGCCAAATGTGACATCATGGCTGGTGGTAGACCTTGTGGTACGTTGGCTACTACTATTACTAAGAAACCGACTACAAAGTAGTAAAGAATGTTGTTGAATCTGAAAAAATGGGTAAGAACTCAATCTAATTTTTTTAAAACAAATTTAAACATTTTTTTAAAGTTTCCAAAGCTACTTTAAAAAAAGGACTTACCCATTAACAATACAGCCAACAATAAAAAAAGCTATAGCCATAAACAGAGCTATCAAGCTTATTCTATCAACAGCACGTTTAATGTCTTGTCGCATTAAACTTGTAGTACCATGTTGAAGATACATGTCTGACATGTTTCCCAAAAACTAAAACTTTTAATTTGTAATCTTAACTTTGACATTTTAACTTTTAAACAAAGCAGGACAAAGCGGGGCAAAGCCAGACGAAATGCAGAGCAAAGGCAGGGCAGGAGCAGGGCAAAAACAGGGCAAAGGCAGGGCAAAGGCAGGGCAAAGGCAGGGCAAAGGCAGGGCAAAGGCAAGGCAAAGAGACAAAACTTTAAAAATTCACAGTAAACCGTCCAATTCGAATGACCAATCCAATGCCATCACCATCAGTAACATAAGTCCCTTGAAAAGCCGTGTTGTAAGCATTAAACACGCTGACATGTTTAGCTGCCGTTTCATGAGTATACTCAACCGGTGATGTATTTCCGGTAATCAATGACAAATCAATCCTCAACCCATTCCCTTGCAATATACGAACATCAGCCGGTATACGTTGACCACTACTAACATGTAGCAGATCTCCTACAACTAACTCTTCAGTCGGTATACATTTCGTTTCGCAATCTCGAATGACAAAACAATACTGACCAACCACATCTTCAGTCGTATGTACAACTTCCATCGTCTTACGTTCTTGCCAAAATGATATGAAACTCATTAATAAGATAGCTGGAATGAGAATGCAAGCTGTCAGTGGGGTTAGAGCACTGTCAGATTTGTGGTCTAATTCACTGATAATGTAGGCCATGATACTTAGGATTGATGCACCTGAAATAGTTTTTTTAAAGCATTTCGGGAATGTTTGCTCAGGTTATTTTGGGCTAGAGGAAAAGAAGGGTGAAGAGTCAAAAAATTAGTACACATAGCCTGTGCCAATGTTTCTATTTTTTCTTGGAATCTAGTTGGGTTGGAAACTTAAGCTTTGCCCGATAGAGCGTAAACTTAGCTATTTAGGCTTAGATAGGTTTATCTTATCTTTACTTCTGTTAAGAATAGGTTTAGTTCGTTTAATCTCAAGAATACCTATTTTTAATTCAGACTTAACCGTTAAAACGTAGCTCAGTTAAGCGTAGACCAGCCCGATTAACCCTACGTTTGCCTTGCAGAAGCTAAGGCTTGATCCTCTTAGACTTAGGCTAGACCTCTTAAGTTCAAATTTTGACTATTTAAGCTTAAGCTTGTGTTTATCACTAACCGCGTAGGCTGCTGCTTGGCCGTTTGAACTCAAATGGCTTAGCTCTCTTAAGCTTAGCTTTAGTTGGCTTTTTGTGGCAGTTATTGAAAGGCTCCACAAAAAAAATTGTGGGCTTCACTGCCAATTTTAAAGTAAATCAAAACCTACCAAACAGTAAAAGCCAAAATTTGTAAAAATGTTGATTCAGCAAGAAATTCCATCGACTTTGTTGTTTTGGCTTTTCAACCAAGTTTGGCCCACCGTCGTGAAGGCGTTTTCTATAAACACACTATTAAACTTTTAAAAATTAAAATCTAGTTATAATTTTTTTTTAATTTCGAAAAGGTTGCGATATACGTAGTTTACAAAAAATCTAAATTTCAAAATAGTAAAAATAAAAACGAACTTGGCTTCATGTTGTCCTAACCCATCACTGCACTCGGGTTGGTCTGCATCAATGTATGAGTCGGCGTATATGTCCTTGAGTTCTTCTACACTCAGCTGATGTTCCACATACGATCCACTGAGATCTTTCCGACGTTGTGAGCCCAATCGTTTAATATTTTGATTTGATTTGCGCGCCTTTAACAGTTTTACAAGAAAGGCTTTCATTCAAGGCTGAAATGGCTCTGATTATTAATATAATACTTAATTTTACAGTTGGTATACAGTTAACACGTCTTCATTTTACACTGAATACACGATGATCACGGTAATAGTTTACCTTACTCTATCCTTCCCCGTGCGATACTACCCTACCCTAAATGCTTTTATTTACCACCACAATACAAACCAATAACAACATTTCATTTTAGGTTTACAATCCATAATATTTATGGAAATGGGTACAAATCAAAACAGACGGCGCAGTTTAATGTAACATAAAGTTTGAAAAGTTTGTCTAAATATTTGCAGAAACCTGTCAAAATAATAATACACTTACTGCTGACAAATGACTTCACAAAGAACGTTTATAAAAGAAAATATACATTTAAAAATAGTTAAGGCATCATGAGTGAATGATAATATTAAAAATCACAATAAAATAAAATAAAAAAAAATTTGGAATTTAGCGGTCAAGTAACTCTGAAAGAGGAATACAGTAAGCTCAGACTGAGGGGCGGTAAATGTAAGCCAGAGGGTAGGCCCGAAAACAAGGATCCAAGAGCTTCGCTTAGGTCCCAAAAAGAAAGATTTAACCAACAATTTAATAATTTTAAAAACTCAAAAATTACTCTTTATTAAATAGACTATCATATTAGCTTTACAGTTCGCTGCAAGATCAAGGACTGGTCTCTGAAGCCTTCATTTAGACCCGGCCGTTAGACCCGCACGATCCGGCTCGCCCTCTTTCAAACGTTATTTGGTACACCTAGGCTCAAGGCCATATAAAGGCTTTTTTTAAGTCTATTTTGAACTAAAAAACAAAAAAATTTCAAAAAAAATTACAGAACAAACGTTTTACCACTTCTTACACTTACACAACAAAAATTTTTGAAGAAAGTTGAACACGACATTCCTCCGTCAATTTAAATAAAAAGTTAAAAATGATCACCGATTTTTACGACCATTACCCCTAACACCTATACAAAACTGGTCCTAAGCTTTCTAATTTTATCCCCAAACCCCCAACGTTCTCCACGAACAATCACAGTTATTCAATCCAAAAAAATCAAAGTTTGATATAGAAATGGTGTTTATCAATCCCATCCATATTGGGAAGATTATTTTTTATCTCAAAAACCGCGCGAGACGAAAAACGACGAATGCCGCCAAAAGCACTCAAGGTTGCGCAATCGACGATGTGAGCTGTCGACTGGTCGATTTGATATCGTCAGTGGGCCTGTAAAGGGAATTGGCCGGTTTTAGTGGACTTCTTTTTGGTCTATTAGGTAAGGTGAGGTAAGATGTAGTAGTTCAGATGTTTTTGTAAAAGGTAATGTTAACTTTTTTTGATAACGTCTATGACATGAATTAACTTACAAATCACAAATACAAGTAAAAGAGTCATACAATAATAAAAAAAAAGCTATTAAATATCAAAAAGTAAAGTAAAATTAAAAAATGAAACTGAATTATGTACTTTGTTATTATATCTTTTGGGCTTTTCCATGAAATAAGCTGTTTTGATCGCTGACATTGACAAAAGAGTTTGCATACATTAGACTTTACATAGACCAAAACGTCACGTCAAGTAGTTATTTTATAACAACATACTCTACTATACCCTTGCCTTTGTCTTACCTTTTTCTTACCTTTGCCTTATCTACCAGTACTTTATCCTTTCTCTAACTTTTTTCTACTCTTGCTTTACTATTGCCTTATCTTTAAATTACCCACTTTATACCCTTTTCTACCCTTGTTCTGTTCTTGCCCTATTTTTGTTGTATTCCAGCTCAACTCTTACCCTACCCGTGTTTAATTCTTTGCCTTTACCTTTGCCGTATCTCTGCCCTATCTTTGCTCTACCGTTTTCCTACCCTTGATTTACCTTACGCCCTACCTTTGCCTTACTTTTGCCTAACTTTCGCCTTACCTTTACCCTTGCTTTACCCTTCCCTTCCGCCCTATTCTTGTCCTACTCTTCATCTGCCCTACCCTACTCTACCTGTTAAAAATATAAACGTATACTGCAAAGAAAAACGTCATTACTTAAGCAAAAAACAAATATTTTGGGCATGAGCTATTGTAACTATAACAAATACTTTGTAATTCATCATGAAGTTTGATAAAAGCGCGTTAAATGCGGTTCCCTTTACGTTTTTTTAGAATTCAAGAATGAAAGAATCGGGAACGTTAATTCATGAATTCAGGCCGGTTTATAACCATATATTACATCAAATGATGTTATTCAAGCTGGGTTTCCGCTTTTCGATTGTAAAAGGAAGAGAAAGTAACATATTGATTTTTCTAGGTTATATTATATTGTAGGGTAGACTGGGGTAGGCTGGGGTAATCTGGGGGTTGGCTGTGGGTAGGCTGAGGTAAGCTGGGGTAGGCTGGGGTAAGCTAGAGTTTTCTGACTGAGTCTGGAGCAGGTCGGGTAAAATATGAAAAAAAATAAGAAGCTTGCCGTAAAATACGCAAAAAGTCGCAATAACACACTACTCTCTCAATAGGAAGTAGGTTACAAGTATACAAAAATTGAATGCAAAGTAAAATATTTATTGAAGTATGTACAGTAATCCAAAAAAATCAAAAAAATTATTTCTGATTGACCCATTCATTGCCTCTGCCTTGATAGAAGCCATTACCGCCATTAGAAGGTAGAGAAGGAGCTGGTTCTGGTTGCTCAACTACGACTGTCTCAGCTGGTGGCACATAGTTGCTGGCTCCTTGGTATTGACCGGCATATGGTTGTTGACCAGCGTATTGACCTTAAAATTTTATTTCAGGGCTTTGGTATTATATAATATGTTTATTAGGATTAAGGTAAGTACAGTAAAAATTTTTAAACATTATTTTTGAACTGTTACAGTAAGTCTAGTATTAGAAAACTCTACTAGTATGTTTAAGATTTATTAGTGCTAAACATAAAACTTTATAAACAACAAAAATATAATTGCACATAATATATTGCGTTTGTTAGTATTGCTATGATATGATAAAGTAAATGCTTGGTAATGTGGTCTTCCGTAGCATCACTATAGTCAGTTAACAAAAGGTACACATAGTTAGAGTCATTTTATCCAAAGATACCTATAATAATATTCTTGTTAGTACACAAAACACCTAAAAGGCATAGACAAACACTAAACTAAGGCTGTAGCTTAGACTTGTAAAGAAACCAGGCCCAATTGTTTGGCCCTGCCCGGTTTTTTTTAAATTCGCATTGATTCGGCTTGGTCTGTTTGATCTAGTAGACAACCTTTTAGGCCTATTTTAGCTACATATTATAGTTAAAAATCAGTAGTATAGGCCAAAACATCAAGTATACATAATATAAAATAAGAAATTTTAAAAACATCAACTTTGAAGTCAAATATTAGGCTGTTCAGATGATTCTGCGCTCAATCGCAAGTCATATTACTAGTGTTAAGAGACTCATAATTAATTACACACCCTAATACCTTATTACAGACATTAACAATGCTTTTTTTTGCCATTTTTAATCCTATACAATGCCTAAAAAAGAAAAAAAACAAAAATATTTATTAAGTTTTAAATTACAAGTACAGTATAAGTACTGTATAACAAAACGACTATGACTTACCTCCAGGATACACTCCACCATACATAGGGGGACGGTAAGGAGTAAAAGCGGCACGGTAGTTGTAAGCCGAGTATGGTGACCGTGGAGCATATCCATAAGCCGGATTCTGGTAATACTGTCTAGCCAAGGCGTCACCAAAGTATTCTGGAGCTTGCTCTTGATTGCCAAAACCAAGGTAAGGAGCGTCTCCGGTTAATGACTTTAGTTCAGCTACTCCACCAACGGCGAAGGCTTGGGAGATTAGGAGGGAAGCTAGAATGGTAAAAATTAGTTTTTGAAAAAAATACTAATTATTATTTTAAAAAAGTTAGGGTAGGTTAGAAAAGAGCAAAATATTATAGAATAATTTTTTTTAAAATTTGTAGTAAGCTTCAACTGAAATTGATTGAAAAAATAGTAATTTTTACAGATTTTCAAAGTAAAATACATTTTTTTCTTGTTACAATAATATTTCTTACCGCAAATAACACCAAACAAGGTTGTTGCTGTATTCATGTTGCTCTTCTGTTACGGAAAAAAATTTTTTTATCTGTTGAGAAATAATGTTATAGTAAAATTTGTTTTGTAGCCATCAAGAAATCTCTCCTCACAAAAGTTAAGTCACGAAACCAAGAAAAAAACGACCAATATTAACAACACAGACTATAATTAAGGAGCAAAGAGCAAGACCTACGTCTTGCCTATGACGAGAGTCTACATAATGTAAGTCACCGTTTATCAAAAAACTTATTTTTAAAGAAATTGGTCTTCCTATTAAGTTTGAAAAAAACTAGGAAAAAAAATTTACCCCCCCCTATCCCATTTCTAAATAACCTTGTTTGCTCTACCTGTAAATGCCAAATTCCAAAGCTAACTTTTTCCTAATTTTTTTATCCAAAATAGTTTTAATAGTTAAAAAACATCCCTACCCTACCTTACCCTACCTTACTCTGCCTTACCTTATCTTACTCTACCGTAACCAGCCCTACCCTATCTTACCCTACCCTACCTTATCCTACACTATCCTAACCCGCTTTACCCTGCCTTACCTTTCCCTGCCTTGTGAGCAACTAACTTTTCTAACAACAAAACCCTGCGGCATTGAAATAACACTATTATTTATATTCAAAAATCGCTCGAACAAAAGAGAAAGAAGAAAAAACAAATTCCTCACCATCTTATACCTCCTCAAGTTGGCGAAACATCTTCACTCATACGAAAGAAGGGTAATTATCTTCTTACACAAGGCATAAGACAACTGATTTTTCAAAATTTTTTAAGAAAAATTAAGGGATTTTAATAAAAAAAAAGTTTTATGAGTCAGAGGTTTTGATAGTGTTGGATAAGGAATAAAGTTAATGTTCTAAAAACTTCTAAAACCTTAGTTTAAGTAGGATATCTAAAGGGTTCTTTTCCTAATTAGATGATATACGACTAAATGTTGCACAATCACGTTGAGTCTAGTTTTGAAACGTAAATAAAGGTTTTTAACAAAGAAATATTTCACAAGATTACTAAAAAGTACTTCGTTGCAAGACCTAAGCTAGCCTATGGAATTTTGAACCCGGCTTATGTGCCGAACTGTAGCGTGTGAGAATGCAAGGGGTGAGGGGAAGCAACTGTGGCCTAGGATACAAAAAAGTATGTACAAATTAGTCTACACAGAAGTAAGAAAGAAAAGAAAAAGCTCAATTGCTTCAAAAAAGCTTGTTGAGGTAGAGGGGGGGGGGATACAGAAAAAATAATGAAAATTTCTGAAATTTGATAACAAAACAATTTTAAATCTACAAGAAATTCGTTATACAAGAGTTCTATTGCAACAATATAACCTCAATAATAAACTCAAAGAACATGAAGCAAAACCTTGTTCTTGTCAGTGACATTGACAAGTTGTCGTCCTTATATACCACAGGAATGACAATTTGCCTTGACAATAAAAGTATTTATCATCAACAAATATATGTTTATACGTTGATGACAAGACGACAATTACTGATTGAAACGTCATTGTGTATACAAAAAGTGGGTGGTACATATCGTTTAACTTTTGTACCGCAAACACTTTATTGCCAAAGCTTTGTGCAATAAATACGTTACCGCCATCAATTTAGCGATGAATTAGTAAAAAATTAGTTTTTCTTCAAAAACTTCCTGAAAATTTAACCTTTTAACTCGAATACCTTATGTTTTATTACTATTGTTGTTTGTAAACTGACGTCATTCGTTTGCCGAACGAACTTGGCTAGCCGGCCAAGAACCGGCTGACCTCGATTCCCGACGCGATTTGCCTCATTTAACATTATTTTGTCAACGCAAAAAGGTCAGTCGTCAAGTTCGGGAACGAGTTTTGGAACGTTGCGAAACGTGAGTCATCGGTTTTGGAAGAAGGACGGAAGTTACGAAAAATGTCGTTTTTAAGGTTTTTTAAATTATTAGGAAAATGTTATTTTTGTTGTAAAATACGTCTTTTTAAAAAACGGTTTTTAAGAAAGATTTAATATTGGTGGGTAAGGCACGGTAAAATAGGATAAAATAAAATAAAAGACAAAAGAAAGGGGTAAGGGGAAAACTGAGATGAGCTAATCCTAAAAAAAAAGGGTAAAGCAAGTGTTAGGCAAAGGTAAGAAAAAAGTAAAGTTAGGCCAAAGCAAGGGTAAGGCAAAGGTAAGGCAAGGATAAAGCTAGAGTAAGGCAAGAGTAAGGCATCAGTAAGGCAAGAGTAAGGAAAGGGTAAGGCAAGGGTAAGGGCAAGAGTAAGACAAGGTTAAGGCAAAGAAAAAGCATAGGTAAAACAAGGGAAAAACAAAGGTAAAGCAAGGGTAAAGCAAGGTAAAGTAGGGTTGGGTAAATTGTTGTCTTATTAAAACTTTGGCAAGGATAAGGCATGAGAAAGGCAACGATAAGGCAAAGTTTAAAGCAGGAATAAAGCAAGGGAAAGCCAAAAGTAAGGCAAGCTTAAGACAAGGGTAAGTCAAAAGTAAAGCAACCGTAAGACAAGATAAAGTAAAGATAGGTAAACTGTGGTTTTCTAAAATTAAACAGATAAGACTGATTTCTTCTTCAAGCACAGTTTTTGGCAGGGGTAAAAATTTTTTTTGAGACAAATTATCTGCTCTGCCACTTTCAAACAAAATATTAAGAAACACAAAAGTGTAAGTTTATTTGCAAATTTACTTAATCTCAATTTTTAGAAATGCCATACTGACTAAACTTGATAAGGTTGTAAAAGTCTTCAACCATGTAGTTCCAATCGCTTGACTTGACCTTTCCCTTGACACCAGCGAAACACTTTTTGATCACTTTTTTTGTCATAAGTTTTTTAACTTGTTTAGCATATGCGGTTTCAGAAGATGGTTTCTTCTTCAGAAGTTTGAAGTAAAGTTTGCTGAGAATAGGTTTTAGTCCAGCCAAAGCTTCATCCATAAAAGTGTCGAGGTCACTGACATCGCTGTAGAAAGAGATGGCAGCACTGTAGAAGGCAGACTGGTCGCTTAGCTGGTTTTCTACACTGTTATAGACTTCTGAAATTTGTTGTTATTTGTAACATTGGTATGTACTTTACTTTAAAATTTTAAAACTTACCACTAGAAACTTTTTTGTAAGTCCATCCTTTTTGTACTCCAACATATGTTGTGTTGACAGCTGATGAAATGAAATTATCTGTCAAGTCATCCGTAACCAAACTTTTGAATTGATTTACAGCCGCAGTGTAATCAGCATACACTATGTATGGTAGTAGTAGTAAAATGGTACAACATTTCATTTTTAGTAAAGCTTTGAACCTTAGTACCACTTATAGTAAAGTAGTACTGTGTTTTATTGACAGTACTATTTAGTACGTACTAGTATTATTTTATATTGAAAGTACTGTTTAGTTAGTACTGAATAGTATCAATACTAAAGAGCACTAATACTAAGCAGTGCTAAACAGATACACCGCTAAAACCAAGTCAATAATGTTGCAATTGAAACATGTGATCTATAAAACATCATTTATATCACGTCTATATAGCCTAGATTAAAAGAACAGCTAAAGTACTCAACATAGAAACATAAACAAGATAATCCTTATTCCAATTAAAAAATAAAGCTTATTTGATTATTTGCCACTGTAATTTTATATTATAGATGAACTGTAAAACATAACAGTGGTATGTAGGCTAAAGAATTTCATATGTTTAAGTAAAAAAAATATACTTTTTTACCCTACCCTACCCTACCCTACCGTACCCTACCCTACCCTACCCTACCCTACCCTACCCTACCTACCCTACCTACCCTACCTACCCTACCCTACCCTATCCTATCTTACCCTACCCTACCCTGCCCTACTCTAACCTACCCTACCCTTTTCTGCCTAGTACAATATAAAGATTGATTAGTACAATATAAACATAAATAGCATTTTTTTATAAATTTTACTACGGCCAACACTTTGAAGTTAATTAAAATTTTAAAACTTAAAATAGTTTATTCAAAACGTCATAACTGTGAGAAAATATGACTTTACAAATCAATCAAGATACAACACAAAGCCCATCATCACAAGGGTCGGATAGTGATGGGCAACTAGTACAAACTGGACCAATATCATACAAAGGTTCAGTCAACACATTTCCGGCTGGACTATAATCACAAACAGTAAATGCCCAATTAGCAAAGTCCCAACCATTTTGAGGTCCATTTGAACAGAATTGAACTGCGCAACCGACTTTGTTCGTGTTGGCCCAGGCCATCTGGAATCATATTTTTAATAACCTAGTTTATCTTATCTTACCCTACCCTCCTCTTTTCAACCCTACTCTACCTTACCATACCGTATCGTACCCTACCCTTCTTTATCTCCCTCTATTCTATATTACCCTACCCAACTCAACCCTAAACTACTCAAGAGTGACCCTAATCTAACACTAACATACTTTTACTGTAGGACTACTATAAACGCATGATATAAAGTTAAATATATGAATAATAAATGTGCAAAAACAATTGCCATACCTGTGTAAAGTGACCTGTCTGATCAGAAAACACCAAAACTTGTGGACCGTACGGATAAACTGATATCTCGTCCCACCACGCAAACATTGAGTCGTTCAAAGCTGTTGCTAAAACAGTGTTAACTATAGATACCTATTTTTCAGTTTTCACTTAATTTCTTAAAATTTTTTTTAAAAACATACGTAAAAAATTAAAAAACTTATTTACCCTACCCTACTTCTAATTTTAACAAAAAAAAATTCTTGTCTATATGATCAGTAACCATTTTTAGTGAGTAAAATATAGATTTCCAGAACAAATACATACTTTCATCCGTGGCAAAAGATTGAGCAATGTTTTGGCCATAGTTTAGCACGCTAGGATGTTGGTAAATACAACCAGCTGCCCATGAAGCTGCAGTGGCTTCTAGAGAAGTGTCGTAAGTCTAAAAAAGAATTTTAAACTTTTATCAAAGGATATGGTTTTTGCAACCTTAATATTGAAAATCAGTAACAGTCACATGCTATTTTTACCCTCCTGTACTAATCACATGCTAAAACTTACAAACTGTTGCATATCCGAGGCCACAGGAAACAAAACCCCACCATACCCCACAGCTTGTCCATTAGCCAGCTGACTTCTAAATTTGTTGTGAAGCTCAACAACAAATTGTTGATCTTGTGGCGTCAGTCCAAAGACTGTCTCTACACATAAAACAAAAGCTATATAATAGCCATTTTTGGAACTCCACATTATTTAACTTCCATAAAATTTAATTAAATTCGAATTGAAATTTCTTGCAAATTCGTTTTGATTTATAGGCCAAAGCATATAAACCTAGTCATTTAATGGCCTGATTAATATCGGTGTTAAGCCTGATTAATGTTTTGAAATTGATTCAGCTGAAGCTAAAGGTTACATGTTCAACGTACACTGAAGCGGCCGAAATTAAAAAGAAAACTAATCAGAGATCAAAAAATGAATGGCAATGATGACGTTGATCAAGGTTTTGCAAATGTTTTATCAGTTTTTCATTATCTTCAACACGCTTTTAAGAAATTTTAAATTTTGAACAAATCTTTATTAACCTTTTACAAAATGATATTATTATCAGTTATCAACACCAAACACTATTCTATCCGCCAGCCATTTTTAACAGTCGTAATCTACTATAAGTTACCCATAGTACAAATAACGATAAGGATTGTACAACCCATAATCAGCAGTACAATAACCGCAAGTTTTGGCGCATTCTTGTCGCATCACTGAAACATAATTGGGATGTTGACATAACATGGACATTCCCAAACAATCTGATTTCCCATTAACAGATTTGTCTTCGCATTGAGTTGGTACAACTAGAGCTAAAATGAAAAGAAAATATTTAACAAGGAAGGTTCCTGACCTACTCCGCTGTGATTGACTTCAAACTTTTTATATAGAAAGAGCATGTATATAAATAAACAAGATGTTCAGCAAAGTACTAGATCGCGCTTTCCAGGATATCTAGAGAAAATGGGAAAATCGAGATTAAAAAATGACATTTTGAATTTCCCGCCAACCTGGCATTGTGTTTCAAGCTTGTAACTTTGTCATTTTTTGACTTCTAATAATTTTTCTTTGACATACTAGTAGAATACCTTTAAATGAACATACATTTTTAAATTTGTAAGCGTATCTTGTCTGAAAAGCCGAAAAAAGTACTTGAAAGACAATGCCAAATTTGCCAAATTGGCGGAAAAACCCAAATAATTTAAATTTAAAACTCAAAAGCACAAGCTAATATTTTTTATGGGTACTATTGGTAGTACAAGGAATTCATATAAAAATTTTGAGCTGATTCTGAGCGGGGTAGGTAGGGTATCTACTTTCCTTGTAAATTTTTAAATTTAAAAATTTTTTAAGAAGCCTATAAACGTTGAAAAAATTTAAAAAAATTTTTTGACTATTTTTTAGTAAAAAAAACTTTTTCCTAAATTCTTTACCATTCTGACTACTTTCAATCTTCTTATTATTATTGTTATTGTTATTGCTACCACTACCACCACAATATCCACAAGTAGCTTTGCATTGAACCATCATCAGCCCTTTATAAAACGGGTCAGTACATAAGCCTATATGTTTTTGGCAATTCGAAATTCCATTAGTATCTGTCAAATCAGCACATGACGGTTTGCCATTATTGATAATCTTTGGAACCACATAAGCATAAGTATTGTTGTTTTGAACACACTCTAGTAACAAAGTTTTGTCATCAATTTGTTTTCGCATTAATGAGATTAGATTCAACAGTAATAATGCTTGATCACCAGTGTTCTTGGTAGTTGAACAGAGATTACAAGATTGACGACAGATCTCGTACATAACATTGGAATACTGTTGATCATTGCATAGGTTTACAAGTTTTGGGCATAAGGTTGGGAAAGAGTCGTTGCATACTGTAAGATTCTGTTTACCGCAATGTACAATGGTGTTTTCCCGCTACCTTACCCTACAGTACCCTTATCTACCCTACTATACCCTTTTTTTTAAACTTATTCTTAAAAATATTACCTTGAGCTTGAAGTTTAGCAATTATAAACAGAAAACAGTAAACACAGCAAAATAAAAACCGCATGTTAAAAAATAATGAATATTTAAAACAGTACTCTTCTTTATATGTAAATAAAACCCATGTTGTATGTCACATAATTTTTATTTGTTCACGAATGCCATTGTTTTAACATAGACCCACTAAATTTTTATTGTTGAAAAATATAAACATAGACATACTGTTTTTTTATTGTTTGTCTAGCAGCATTGGTTAAACCATGTTTTTTCAAAAATTTTTAGAGCGGCCAATAGGAATTGGTCAAATGAAAGGCCTTTTTACTGCAAGAAATACCGGTGAGATGCAGGGCCGGGTGGGCACTTTTAGTCTGCAGGCAGGGGTCGAAAAGGTCGACACAGCTACTTGTGCCAATTCTTTGCAATTTTTTTTTCAAAAATCCGCAATTTTTTGCATCATATATCTAATATAATTTAAAAAAAGTTTTTTTATTAAAAAATTCGGGGCCGATGAACAATCATTCCCCCAGCTACAATCATTCCCCCAATCGCAAAATCATTCCCCACAAAGTTAAGTTGAACTTAACTTGTACTAGTCCAGAAGGTATTGGCTGAGGCGAGGGTTGGGAACGATCCAAGTGTTGGAGCTGTTGAACCATCGCGCGACTAGGGGCTGGAAAGAGAACCGGCAGACGACCTCGGAACTCGGCTCGAATGACGATTTCTGGGGAAATCGGTTGCTTTTATAGGGATTTTGCATAAACTTTGAAAGTGTAAACCAATTTTTGAATAATGAATACACTTTCAAATGGGAAAAGTGAATAAGGGTTTTCTAAGTGTGGGGCATGATAGTAATACAGGTGGGGCATGATAGTAACACAGGCGAGGCATGATAGTAAAACAAGTGGGGCATGATAGTAATACAGGTGGGGCATGATAGTAATATAGGTGGGGCATGATAGTAAAACAGGTGGGGCATGATAGTAATACAGGTGGGGCATGATAGTAACACAGGTGAGGCATGATAGTAAAACAAGTGGGGCATGATAGTAACACAGGTGGGGCATGATAGTAATACAGGTGGGGTATGATAGTAATACAGGTGGGGCATGATAGTAATACAGGTGGGGCATGATAGTAACACAGGTGGGGCATGATAGTAAAACAAGTGGGGCATGATAGTAACACAGGTGGGGCATGATAGTAAAACAAGTGGGGCATGATAGTAACACAGGTGGGGCATGATAGTAATACAGGTGGGGCATGATAGTAATACATGTGGGGCATGATAGTAATACAGGTGGGGCATGATAGTAACACAGGTGGGGCATGATAGTAAAACAAGTGGGGCATGATAGTAACACAGGTGGGGCATGATAGTAAAACAAGTGGGGCATGGTAGTAACACAGGTGGGGCATGATAGTAATACAGGTGGGGCATGATAGTAATACATGTGGGGCATGATAGTAATACAGGTGGGGCATGATAGTAACACAGGTGGGGCATGATAGTAACACAGGTGGGGCATGATAGTAATACCGAGTGGGAGACACAACGGTTGTTTTTTTTACTTTTGGCAAATTCATCAGTGATTCCTTCGTAAGTTTGCGGTCCGACCATAATCCAGCAAACAAAATGAAAGAATGAGAAATTGAAAAAAAATCTTAAAATTTGAATAAGTGGGGAATGATTGTAGCTCATTTCCATGGGCCATTATTATTCACCTGCTGGGGAGTTATTCTTCATGAGAACCAAAAATTCAGTTTCCAAGTTCAAAATTATTTCTTATTAATAATGAATATTGTACAAGGGTGTTGAAAAAGTTACACCTCAAAAATTTATTATAAAGGAACTCCTGTATAACAAACCCCTCTATAACTAACATCTTGAACTAGAGACATAAATTCCCGACCAACACTAAACAGTTCATTTGACACTTTTCTATACCGAAACCCTTAGATAATAAGAAAATTTAAAATATTCGAGCGGTTTGTTATACAGGAGTTTCACTGTATTATTTTTAGAAACTTGTCCAAAATATTAACTACCGTATCAGCCCCCAGTACCTTGTGTTATTTGACCAATACGCGTAAAAACAAAACGTCGTAAACATTGTTTGCCCAGCTTTCGAAGGTTCGTATAACTGTAAGACTACAAAAAATGAGCATATTGTTCATTGGCAAGGATCGGATCGTATATCCCGAACCTTTATATACATATAAACATAAACAGTTTGCACAAAAGTCAAAAAGTTCATTTTAAAATGGATTTAGTTCCACTGTGTATTACTCAGTGTGTAAGACTAAAAATAACCCTTGGAGAGAAAATCAACCGTATTTTACAATAACTTAAAAATTTAAAGAAAGCTCTTTATTACCTTTGAAACAACTATAATAACAGCCATAATAACACCAATTAGGTCTAGATAGTACAATTGAATGAAGTTGAGATCCAAACACTTGGGTCGTACCACTTGTTTCCAATGTGAAGCTCGATTTCGACGAATGGCACGATCGACCGAAGAAATCAGAAACCGCTTAGTCGGAATTACGGTGTCGTACAGCAACTTTGAGTACTTTTTTGTGTTCATGGTGTATCTAAAATGACATTTTCGAATTCTTTTAGTAAAAAATCTTATTTTAGCCATAACTTCAAAAAATTTTTTTGATATTACAGTAACCCAAATCCTAAAAAAAATGTTACAGTAAACCAATTTTATGTTACAGTAATCCAAATCCTAAAAACAATGTTACAGTAAGAATAAAACAAAAAACGCTGTTACCGTGTTCTAAAAATGCCAAAAAAGGTACAGTAATCCAAAAAAAACCTTTAAAAGTCACAAAAACCAACCGTTCATCATGGATAATATCCCCCAAAGCCATAGTAAACGTTTCATTCTTCACGTTCATCTTGTCCACGTAGATTCCCAAACTTTTTTCTGTGATAACTCTAGCATTCTTAAAATGATCAGCAAATAATGGCATTAAAATCATCGGTCGTCCATTGGAAATTGACTCCAGCACGGTACTCCACCCACCATGAGTTATTACTCCGCGATAGTTTTGATGTTCTGAAAGGTTACAATACTATATCAGTACAACATTACTATACCATTTAAGTCTTGTAAGTCTAACAATGCGTGAAAGACTTTAAAAGGTTCTGAAGTTACAGTATCATTACCGTAACCAACAAGTTTCCAAAAGTTTTCAAATCATCGTATACCTCTACTTCTAAAAACCTACTCATAAGTGCCATTTGAGGTATCCACGTAGTCAACACAACATTGTTCTTCCTCAAATAACTGTCCTTGTTAGCCAAACTCTCGTACTTTACTATGAACAACACATTGCCAAACCGATTCATAGCCCTCTCCAACGAGTTCCAAATACCCTCAGGCATTTCCGAAGTCTTAGCAATAGCTCCAAAAGTGATCAGAATAAAGCCTTCTGAAGCCTCGTCGGCTACAATCTTCCATTCTGGACTTAAATCTACTGTAACATCAGGATCCGCTACAGTAATACCCGCGATATGTTGAATTAGAGTAGATTGAGGGGCAGTAAAATCAAATACTGGAGAAATATTGGTCAGTACAAGCTCGACATTGGTGGCATACGACATTAAGTTCAGTCGTAGCTGATGTCGATCACTTTTTAGTCGAATGAGCTGGTTTTCGAAATCGATTGAGTAGAACTTGTGGGTAAGTTCAGTTACCTAAATTTGTAAAATGTTGATGAAGAAACTTACTTTAGCTACCAATGTGTTTAGGATACGTTGAGGAAAAGTCATGTGCTCGGAAAACGATGAAAACAGCTCTAAAATACGAAAAAATTGTTCTTATAGTTAAATCGGTAACATATCCAACAAACATTTTTTAAAGAAAATTGTATCGGAAAGAAAGTTCTTGCTATTTTTTGTTTTGTAAAGAAAGTTCTTGACATTTTTTGTTTTGTAACAAAAGTTCTTGTCACTTTTCGTTTTGTAAAGAAAGTTCTTGCTATTTTTTGTTTTGTAAAGAAAGTTCTTGACATTTTTTGTTTTGTAACAAAAGTTCTTGTCACTTTTCGTTTTGTAAAGAAAGTTCTTGCCATTTTTTGTTTTGTAACGAAAGTTCTTGACATTTTTCGTTTTGTAAAGAAAGTTCTTGCCATTTTTTGCTTTGTAACAAAAGTTCTTCCTATTTTTTGTTTTGTAAAGAAAGTTCTTGACATTTGTTGTTTTATAACAAAAGTTGTTGACATTTTTCGTTTTGTAAAGAAAGTTCTTGCCATTTTTTGTTTTGTAACGAAAGTTCTTGCTATTTTTTGTTTTGTGAAGAAAGTTCTTGACATTTTTCGTTTTGTAAAGAAAGTTCTTGCCATTTTTTGCTTTGTAACGAAAGTTCTTCCTATTTTTTGTTTTGTAAAGAAAGTTCTTGACATTTGTTGTTTTATAACAAAAGTTGTTGACATTTTTCGTTTTGTAAAGAAAGTTCTTGGCATTTTTTGTTTTGTAACGAAAGTTCTTGCTATTTTTTGTTTTGTGAAGAAAGTTCTTGACATTTTTTGTTTCATAACAAAAGTTGTTGACATTTTTCGTTTTTTAAAGAAAGTTATTGCCATTTTTTGGTTTGTAAAAAAAAGTTCTTGCCATAGTCCGTTTTGTAAAATACGTTGTCTTCCCAAACAATCAATTTTTATAAAAATTAAAAAATTGATTTAAAAAACTACATAAAAGTACCTGGAACATAGCCAAGTGGGTAATTCACCCCGATTTGCTCAGGTTGAAGTCTATAAATAGCCGTCGCACTTAACCACACAACTGCTTCAACTTCAATTCTTTGTAGCAAACCCAAACCACAAGCATCATACTGCTCCACGAAGCCTACATCGTAATTTTCATCATGCAACTGTTGGAGTAGGGCGTGGTCCGCGAATATATCTAAAATTTTTTTCTACAGAATTTGTAAAAAAACGTGCAGAAAAGGCAGAATTTTGTAAAATTCGGCCTCTTTCAAACTTGCTTAAGCCCGGCCGATTAGGCCCCTTATCAGGTTTTGGCAAGACAAAGTAAATTAGGGTAAATTTGCGTAAGGTGGGATAAAGTAAAATAAATTTTCATTTTTTCAATTTAATACCCTGAATTCTTGGTTTGAACCCTGTCCCTTAAGCAAAGGGCCTAGTGGACCCCTTTCAGGTCTATAAATTATGATTTTGATCTTCCAAAACTTACATTTGCACGCATCAACCATTACAGAAGAAATTTTTAGAAATTTTAGGAATATTTTGTGATTCAATGGACTAGCATCTTCGTAGGGACCCGGATTCTGCCACAACGACTTCAATAAACGATCTTTCTCCATGTTCAAGTCAACGTGAATGTGCTGTAAATTGTTTTTTGTCATAAGTTACGCTCAGAGTGTAACATCGCTTCGACTTTTAATGCTCAACCGTATGTATTATAGAAGACTATCATAAAAAAAAACAAAATCTATCTTACCGTAACGTTCTTTAGCCGTTGATAATTCACGTTTGGATCAATGTCAACAATTAAAACTGTCTAAAAGCGTCGTATTTTACAAAAAAAACAAAACATTGTAAAGACAGGGGTAGTAGATATAAAGGTAGGAGCAGGGGCACGCGTAGGATTACGGGTAGAGATAGGAGTAAAGGTAGAGGTAGAAGTTGAGGTAGAAGTACGAGTAAAAGTAAAAGTGGTAGATTTAAAGACATGGGTTGATAGATTTTAGTATAAACTTACAACATTATAACCACCATCACGTAGCATTTCAGCCAGCTTTAGATTAAAAGCTACATGGCTATACGACAAGGTAGGTACATAAAACAAAGCTTTTTTACACGAAACAACATTAGCTATCAAACTGATCACCAGAAATAGAATTAACATCAAAATACCAACAGAATATCAGTAGTAACTTCATAAATCTTTTATTGATTCACTACTACAATATTATAGTAACATCAGCATAGGTGATATAATAGCACTTTTAGGGTCCAATATATTTTAATATGGTTTTTAGATAGCAATAACAAGCTTCAATAATATTTTTTAGCAAATTTTTAAAATTTTTTTAAATTAATTTTTTTTAAATTTCGAAATTTTTTTTGAAATTTCTCCGAAATTTCGATTTTTTTTCGAACTCAAAAGAAGAAACCGAGTATATTTGAGGATCTATTTCGATCGGCACTCATTAAAATTACAATAGGTATCGAAAATGAGGTCAAATGAGTCGCCTTAAGTGCAGGCAGCTCTACTTTTTTTTCAAAAAGGGATTGCGACAATTTATGTTGCTTTAGGTAAACAATCAAGAAACAGCAAAATAACTTAAATGGTTTGACAAGCTTTAAAATTTTTTTTTAAATTTGTTGAAAAGTTATATTGACGTAAGTAGTCCCAGCCTTCTAAGCGTACGCCTTTTTTTCCTCAGCCTTATCAGGTCAAGCCTTCTATGCTCAAGCCTCCTAAGCCCAAGACTTCAAAGCCTAAGCCTTATAAACCCAAGCTTTCTAAGCCCAAGCCTTATAAGCACAATCCTTCTACACCGAAGCCTTCTAAGCTCAAGCCTCCTAAGCATAAGGCTTCAAAGCCTAAGCCTTATAAGCACAAGCCTTTTAAGACCAAAACTTCAGAACCCAAGCCTTATAAGACCAAAACACCAAAACCCAAGCCTAATAAGCCTAGCCTACTAAACGTAAACCAGTTAAGCCTATTTTTTAAACATTTCAAGCCTAACCTTCCATAAACCCTTAAAACTCAAAATTTATTTTTCACTATTTACAAAAACTTCAAATTTTTCTAGTTACGTAGGCGTTTAACGCCTCGTCGCGGCCGATAACAACTTGAACAAATATGGCCATTAAGTTGGCAATGGTGAGATCCTATCATATTTACCGTTTTCGTACGTCCATCCAAATACTCTTCAACGTAGTGTTCTCTGTACATGTACTTGTGACATTGATAACATTGGTTCATGTACAGATTGTTCTTAAAATTGGATGGGAACATTTGAGACAACTTCATACTGAAATAAGGTTTTTTTTAGTATTTTAATTAACAATTCAAAAGAAAAAAACGTTTTGAAAATATAGTTATTATAGAAAACTATTTTACTCATTCAAGCAATGTCTATTTTTCTTAAATCAAAAATTTTTTAAAATCCACCCCTTGCAAAAAAATTACCACGCCCAAAAAATTTTTTGAAATTCTCAAAAAAAAATCATTTTTAAAAAAATCACGAAATGCCAAAAAAAACATTACTTTCAACTCCCACCCCCCCCTCCCACCAAAAAAATTCTTTTTACCCCGCCCTTAAAAAATGGCCAAACCCCTTCCTCTTCCCAAAAAAAATTAATAGCAAGACCCACACCTACCCCATGTTCAGCAACTTCACAATACACATGACTTGTAGTTGGTAGACGCCAATGTCCATATTCACATGTCTCGATTGTGTTGGATTCTGTTCGAAGTTATTTTCGAAGTACGATAAAATTTCAAATTTTCGTCTTTGAAACAATGATAATGGCAGAAAGGTTAGTTGATTGTAGGAGATGAAAAAAATTCGTAATGAGATGAGTTTGTGAATCTGAAAAAAAAGGAATAGTAATGCCCACATAAGGTCAGTAAAAGACAAATCAAGAAAAATTAAGCTTGAGAAAAGGATACTACTTCTTTAATGACTTCCCCTCAGCTCTTACTGAATATTTCCTGACATCCTAGTATTTAAGTTTAGTCGAATATTTGAACCATTACTACCTAATTTTTAAACTTACGCTAGTATGAACAGTATGAATTTGATTCCTAGCCGCATCAAGATGAATCAGCCTTGGAAGGTGCATTAAGCTTTCTGGAAGAACAGTAAGATTGTTTTGAGACAAGTTTAACTCCTTTAAGTTTCCTGGAAACGATTCATAGACTTCGTCCTAAAAAGTAAAATTTTTATAAAAATTATTATTTTACATAAAAAAATAGCATTTTATATAAAATTTAACTAAAAACCACCCAAGTTCCCATCAAAAAAGCTTACAGGAAGATCCATCAGCCCATTATCAGACAAATCCAGCTCTTCCAACAGCTTCAGCATCCTCAATCCCTTTAAATTCTTCATGTCTTTATGATTATTGACATCTATCTTCATCTTCAACCTCAATTTCTTCAAATTTAAACACTTAAAAGGTCTGTTATCCAAACTTATTGGAAACTGAATCATCAAACTCTCAAGTGATGCTGGATACGCCGTTCTGGATCTAAAATCTTCTTCAGCATCTTTACCGGTCAATTCCAACTTCTTCTTTCCCATAACCAATTCTTTAGCCAAATCGACAGATTGTGAGTGAGCAGTACCACATAGTATCTTGTTTATGACAGATAGTTGTTCCGGCGGAGAGTTTTGGCCATTTCTGAAGTGATTGACCACTAAAATAATATTCTTTCGCACTCCTGGTTGAAGTCCTGCTAGTAGAAGGTTCTGAGATGTTCTGCTCAAGACAAAGGTTATTTTATCTTCTTCGCGAGGTATGAGAAGTTTGCAAGATTGTTGTGAGATCTGAAATTATATTAAACATCATAACATTGGTATATAACAACTACAAACGCTGTATAACCTTAAAACGCCTTAATTATACCCTAACGTCCATTTTCAATAAAAAATTCCTTTCCACACCAAAAAAAGCGTATTTGATCAAAGGCAACATCAGCTAACACCTAAAAACCAACAAAAAATCAAAAATCCTTACCAAATTCACACAATCCAGTCGTTTATTCTTCTGACATCCTATCTTCAAGATCAATTTCTCACGATTCGAACGAGTACACAGCTCCACCGAACACATCGCTGGTCCAATAGGCTTTAGGTTAGGTTTGTCCGTCTGAATCAGCGTTACCCGCGCGTATATAATCATGTTAGTTTTTATACCAATATAAAATTGTTAAATTAACGTTAAAAGTTGTAAAATATTGTAGAATATTGTAAAATTAGATAAGATTTTTGTTCGAAAAACAAAATTTTGTTTGAAATTAATTTCTGCCGAATTTCGTTTCAACTATTGACTTTCGCGACGTAGTGTCACAAAACTACATGTATTATATTATATTACACTCAAAGGCGAAAACAATGAATCTTTCTTTACTTTATTATAATTTAAAATAATCAACAAAACAAAAAAAAATTAAAACAAAACTTTAATTAAAAAACATCGTTGAAGACCTTTTGAATCCTGTAAAAAGCACCGTAACCATAAGCACATCATTCTTCTTCATGAAACCTTCATTGCCAAATATTCACCACTTACTATGTCTTCAATCTTTTTTCAAGTTCCTCCACCAACTGTTCCACTTTCACTTCAGTTTCCTCTCGACTTGCCACGTTTCTTATCTTAACATTGCCTTCTTTTAGTTCTTGTTCTCCTAGAAGTACGATCCATGGGATGCCACGGTCTTCAGCGAATTGTAGCTGGTTTAAGAATTTAGGGTTGGCTTTGTATGGTAGTTCCACGTTGAGTTTGGCATCCCATAGAAGCTTGGCAATCTTCATGCGTTCTTTTAGAAGGCCTTTTTGAGGTGAAGCTACTAGAATGTCGGTGCTGTTTGTTCGTGCTACCGAGCTTTGGCTCTGAAATTACATTTTATAATAATATAAACTTTGAAGATTTTATTTTTAATACGTTTAAAGCTTTTTTTATTAAATTTGTTACCTAAAATATAAGAAACTCATTTTCAAGCTCAAAATCTCTAAAATAATGTTAAGTATACCTTTTTATTCAACCCTTACCTTGTGCTTCATTTCCATGATACTGAATAATCTCTCTATACCAAATGAGATACCAACACATGGTACATCGGTCTTCTTTTTACCAGCTGAAGCAGAGAACATGCCCACCAGAGTATCGTAGCGACCTCCAGCTGCTACTGAGCCCACAGACGCAGTCTCTTCTGGATTCTTCGGATTCGCGTTTTTAGGGACGAATGAAAATTCTAAAACGATATCAAGTTAGGCATTACATCTAAATATTATTTCGATACTACAAGATATAAATCATTCTACATTCTTATGCTTTACTTTTACAGATATTATCGAAAACTATCATAAAATCCAAAACTCAATAAAAATTTCACACATACCTTTAACAACGATTTCATAAATGCAACCAGTGTAATAATCCAATCCTCTGGCCAATGACGGTTCGAATACTACCCGTTTCTCACAACCATAAAGCTCACAGTACTCTAACAATAGCTTCAGCTCGTTAACCGCAACCTTCACACGGTCGTTTTCAAAGGCTTCGAAGACCTTCAACAGGTCCTCGTTTGATGGGCTTGATGCCAATTCTAGAATAATATCAAGGTCAAACTTCGTTTTTATAAAAAAATAAAATTTACGGGTTACTTTTCATATGAACACTTCAAAAATATTATGTTTAGGGTACTTTAAAAAAAATAAAAAAAATTTACCTTTTTAAAAGTTTCAAAGCCATTTTAATTAAAAAACCAATAATACCCTACCTCTAGCCCTAACATATTGTTCCAACTTATCCACAGCTTCAGCAGCAATCTTTTTTTCATTAATCAGCTCATTCTTAACCTCTTCCCACGGCACTTTGTCCAATTTGTCCACACTAGAACAAACCGTCTTGAAATCCTTATCACTGATCCCGCTTAAAGTAAAAATTCCTTCCAGTAGTGCACGGTGATTCAATCGAATTTCAAATTCACCCAAATCTAAGGCTGATAACACTTCATCAGCTACTTTGATCACTTCGGCATCTGGGAGCATTGAATCGTATTGACCGGCTATGTCAAAGTCCTGCAATTGAAGTTTTTATTGAAAAGAACTGTGAAACAATCATACATGTACTACAATAAGTTATATTTTCTATAGTTGATATAAAAAACCCAGCTTATAACTTTGATCTTATTATTGTAGGGAATAATATGTAAAATTAAACTTAAAACAATGTAAAACAACTTACACACTGATAAAACTCTCTAAATCGTCCCTTAGTCATGACAGGTTGATCTCTTCTGTAAACTTTAGCAATTTGATACCTCTTTAAGCTAGCCAACTTGTTCATTGCCACATAACGGGCAAACGGTACCTAAAACATCAAGCATAACTTCCAAAGCCCTTCCAATAAACCTTCTAGCCCGAGTATAAGCTTCAAAACCTTCTTCCACATATTGACAATAAAAAGACAACGCTATACCATTATTTTCCTAAAAAATCAACAAAAAATCAAAGTTAACTTACAGTCAGATCATAACGCAAAGAACAAGCTTCTCCTCCTTGATCAGCCAAATCGTAAACCAATTTACCACCTTCTTCTCCATATTTACCCATTAAAACTTCTTTGAGCTCAAAAACAGGTGTATCAATACATTCAGCTCCGTGTTTCTTGAAGATTTTAGTTATGGTGTCCAATACCTTTTCCCTGATCACCATTTGACTAGAACCAAAATCCTTGGTTCCTTTGGGAGTTTTTAAAGTAAATTTGCCCTCAGCTTTCTTCTTTTCCGCCATGGCTTTCTGGGCCTTTACCTAAAATTCCAGTCAATAATATTTTTTTAATATTGTGTTTGATGTCTATGATAACATGTTTAACATCTCAATAGCCAAAAAATCCCTAACCGTATTAACTTCAAATCTTAAATACACTTTCTAAAAGCCCTTATCCTTCTAATAAAGTAAGAAAACTCATTAAAAATTTAGTATAAAGTAGAAAAAATTTAAAAAGCGTAAAACCCACCCGCCTCCCTGCGCGTTCTGCCCACACGACTGGTGGTCGACGGGTTTCAATCTCTACGACAGTCGAAAAGCACCGACTCAACCTCAATATCGTACTAACCCTCACATTCATATTAAATTTAAACCTAAATTCATAAAAATAAGAAAATTGTACTTACTTCAAGGTTCTTCACTCCTTGTTCAAGCTCGGACATTCCTAAAATAAAAAACTTAATAAAAATAGATGAAAGGCTTCGTAAAAATAAAAAAAATATTATGCTCGTTCTTTATTATACACATAACACAAAGAGAATGAGGAAAGCATGTTATTATAGGTCAGAAAAATTATTTTCCGAGAAAAATTAATTTTCGTCATAATCAATAGTGGACATTTCGCTTTGACACTTTGTTTTGTTGGGAACGGTGATGGAATTGAAACTTGGAGCTGCTGTAAGTCTTGTTTGACGTTAGCTTAGTAAGATTTACCTATATAACTTACATGATTTATACATATTTTATCAAATTTCATTAAAATACTTCAAAATAACCTTTTTTTTGACGAAATATTTCGACTTTTACAATGTAATACCCGTTTTAACGTCATTTTGCGCGGAATTGCTTTGATTTTTAGTCTCACCTTTATCTTCAGAACAATCCAAAGACTACGGTAGAGTAATTAAAACAGGACGGCTTTCTAAAATTCATCAGGAAGTTTGAAATCCGCGTGGGAACATGAAGACCTACGCTTGTGGTTCTAGAACAACTTTCGACAGATTTTTAAATGAACAGCACGTGAAGTTTGTTAGAACGTTAACACGGTGAGTTTTTGTGAAATTTGTAGACTGTTCTTTATTGTTATTGATGTCATTTTTTATTTTTCTGATTTGGTTTGAATTTTGTTGGAAAAATTTGAAAATGGATATTGAGGATGGTAAAAGTAGGTAATACTTTTGTGGTTTTGGATCAAATTCTGTAAAAATTTTGAAGATTTGTTAAAGAATATTCAAAAAAATCAAAATTCAAAGGCACTAATGTTTGGTCGATTGGGGGATCGTACCGAAGTTTTTTTTGTTTTTGAAGCCGTTCCGCAGAATTGTGTCGAAAAGCGTTTTTTGTTTCAACACGGGCATTTAGCGAACTTTTTGCCGGTGTGATCGGGTTTCAGGCTACGGATGTCCAGGAGGGAAAAGTTTTTCCAAGTTTTATTAAACTTTACCTATTTTTACGTATGGCCTCATGCTATGCGGACACAACTCGTGATTAGTAGACGAAGGAACGCTGTTTCGGAATGTTTGGATGACAAATTTGTTGATGTTTGATAAATTTTGTTTTTTAGTTGGTAAAGCTATGGTAGGACAGGGTGGGATAGGGTATGGTAGGGTTAGGTAAGTTAAGGTATGGTAGAGTTGGGTAGGATAGTTTAGGATTGGGTATGGTATGGTAAAGTGGGGTACAGTACTGTAAGGTAATTTACTATAGAGTACTGCAAATAACCCTAAGGCATTTTACCTTAAAATTCAATTTTAAGCTGAAACACGTTTTTAATACTACACCATTCACACACTACATGTTTACCCTACTCTACCTCTACCTATAAAATTGTACCACAGTCTCAGACGAATGTCATGCATGCCCAGGGTGCATAATATTCATTTTTGTTTTTGAGTATGTTCAAACCTTTTATATATTGATGTTACTTTCGTATGCATTAAGTTTTGAGTCGTACAAATGACCGTGCACATATAATTTGTTCCGTTTCTTCTCAAAAACATGTTTTCAAACTACAATATCGCAATGATAATGTTATGAATATTTTGGTGAGGAAGCTTAGGGGACAGGAGGGGTAGGGGTGATCAATGGCAGAACGAGGTACAGTGGAGGGCGAATCATTTTGAGCTGAGTGTGAGGGGAGGGGGAGTGGGAGGGGTTATCAATGGCGCAATGAGGAGTTGCGTTGGGCGGATCATTTTGAGTCTGGTGAGGGGGGGGAAGGAATGTTAAATTGGAAAAAAAATATAAATTTAATTTGGCAAGGGAAAATTATACTCAATTCCAAAAAAAATTTTTTTTTGGGCTGGGTAATTTTTTTATTCTGGGGGTGGATTAAATTTTTTTTTCAAAGTTAATAGGCGTAAAGACATTTAGCTTTTTTCAAAAAAAATTTCGTTTTTGATTTTTCTTTTCTCCCTCCCCCTCCCCTCGCATTCTTGAAAAAAAGCTCGATCGGTATTGCCTGCCACTCCGATACGTACCATTCACAGTAAAAATGCTTATTTTACAAAACCAAAATTTCGACATGCCAACCAAGGTATTTTCTTCCATATTTTTGCGGTTTGGAACGGAACTTTTGGAGGGACAGGATATCCGCGTTTTCGGTTTCGTGTCATTGGACGTTCAGGTAGATACGCAAAGTGAAGCGGGTTTGAAGCACGGTTTATTTCGTTGGATACGTGACGTGAAAATGTTGCCTTAGGTTTGGGGAGCTTGCTTTAGATATTTAAACAACATTTTTATCTCTATAACCATGTTAGAAAAGTTATGTCGTTTTTTAACGTCCAATCAATGCAAATTGGCGACAAAACTTTATTGAGACCATATAATTCAAGTAAATGGTAAACATTTTCACGTTTATTGAGAAGGTCTATTGTATGTACATATATATGACCCAGAAATGTTAAAATGTCATTTAACTTTTCACTGTGTTCACATTAGACCGGTTATGACACGCTTGGTAGTAAACACATTCCGGAAGTCGACGATTCCTTGAAACTGTTCGACCAAATAATACATAGTTCACACTCTTTTTGTACTGGGAAAGGGTCACGTAATAAGTCTAGGATTGTTTTTATTTTGTGGTGGGGCTTAAAGGTAGGGTAAGGTTAAGGCATAAACTGGTATAATGAAGTTTCTTTCTCATTATATTGCAGTATCTATCTCATTTGTTTTGAGTTAGTTATGGTTTTTAGGGCAATATAGAGCTTATCCGTTTTATTCAGAGAAGATAACTTTTAAATAGGGTGGTGTGAGGCCAAAGTAATGTTGGTGTAGGTATAGGGTACGGATAGTATAGTGCTGTTAAGGTTAGTAACGTACAGTGAATTAAGATAGGGCAATGTGGTATAGGGTGGAACAGAGTAGGGCAGTGCATGGCGTGGAATGAAAGGAGTTTCAGAGTGGGACATTGTACGGTATGGTGGAGTGGTACAGGGTATAGGTTTAGGGTAGGGTAATGTTATGATAGGATAGGGCGCGGTAACGAACGGAAAAGTAGGTTAAACTAACAAGGCAGGGTAAGACTGGGTATGGAAATGTTATTGTGCAGCAGGGGACGCTGTGTGGAATAGGGAATAGTAGAGTAGGATAAAGTAAGCTATGTTAGGGTAAGGTATGGCAGGGTAGAGTAGGGTAGGATAGGACATGGTAAGGTAAAATAAGGTAGGGTAGGGTGGAATTGAATAATGTCAGTGACTACTTTTAAAATTCAAATTTTACCCCACCAAACCCCTAGTTAATTTTTGAACTTTCTCTGAAACAAATTGGTATTACGTGAAAATTAAATAAATCATCTTTCTGGCCGAATATTGATGGGGTTATATTGCTTGAAGCGCTTTTTTGAGGACAATTGTCTCGGTTGTGATTTGAACGAATGACACAAGTTTCTCCGTTTCGCTTTTGAAACAGCGGAACGTCAAAAAGAATAACGATATTTTATCCAGCATAACTTGTGAATGTTACATTTTCTAATTGTTTTTGACATTGTTTTGCCATTAGGTTGTTAATTTTAATTTGGTTGCCGCAGGTGATTTTTGTTGGTTTGGTGAATTGGGGAAATGTTGATTGAGGGTGGGATTAGAAAGATTATGGGGGATGTTTGAGGAGCTGTGTGTTAAAAATTTTAAGGTTTTTGAGATTTTTTCGAATTATATAATTTATTTTTTAAGGCGGGGGTAGGAGAAGAAAGGGTACTTTTTGTGTTCAACTAAGTACTACAACTATGCTTTTGATCTACTGAAAGTTTCTTGAAAAATATTATTTTTTTTTCATTGTACTATTGTATTGCTCCAGCACGAACCTTTCTTACCTCAGCTTTACGCTGGATTTACCTGGCTCTACTCCAGCATTTTACTATCTTCTGGCATGTCTATCGTCTTATCCTAGCTTGACTTTCTCGACCTTGTTTTGTTTCACAATACCTTATTCTGCCCTACCTTATCCTATTATGCCTTACATACGCTACCTCCTTACCCTACCCTCCTTTTTTTGACTTTATCCTGTTTTACAGTACTCTATTCTACCCTACCATACCCTACTATTCTTTACCTTACTCAACCCTACCCAACCCTATTAACCTTACCTTTGGCTTGCTCTGTTCCCACCCTACAAATCTATACTAAGTAAGAATTTTAATTTCTCCTACCTCACACTTCTTTAAACTTTTAATACTTATTAAACTTTTTTTGTCAGGAAATGCCCGAGGCAATAACTATGTGAAAGCTATAAAAAATCCAAAGGACTTTAAAAAAACTATTTAAAGGTGGAGAAAAAAGGAACACTTGCGGAGCCGTTATTACATTAATGTATTCAAAACGAGGGAGGAAATGACTTTTTTTAAACATATGACAAAAAGTTTTTGGTCTTTGTTGTTTTTATGCCAGGTTGGTTGTTTTTATGCCAGGGTTGATGGAATGAATTTTTTTTGATTGGGTGGACAGGCTAAGATAAAACTGTTACGGCAGTGTGGGTCTGGGGGAGGTAAGGCTTGAGTTGAGTAGCGCACGGCAGGACATGTGCAATTAGGGTAGGAAAAGATAGGATAGGGTAGGGTAGGGTAGGGTAGGGTAGGGTAGGGTAGGGTAGGGTAGGGTAGGGTAGAGTAGAGTAGGGTAAGGTAGGGTACGGTAGGGTACGGTAGGGTACGGTAGGGTAGAATAGGGTAGGGTAGGATAGGGTAAGGTAGTGTAGGGTCTGACAAGGCAGGATAGGGCAAGCTATGGTAGACTATTGTAATTTGGAGTAAGCTAGAGTGTGGTAAGGTAAGGCGAAAGAACATACCAATTCATGATCGTTATAACATTTTATTATTGCTAATATTACTGTGAAGCCGAGTATTCATATGAAAATTGTGTTTAAGCCGGTTTTGTGTCACAAAATTGAATTCCACAACGTTTTGTGACGAATTGAAAAGAAAAAAGTCAAGAAGGGTGAAATTGAGGGTTATCAGCGAGCTTTGCAGTATTTATTCTTACATATCTTCTTTGCATTTGTCATGATGACATATAGAAAGGTCAGGGTTTTTGTTTAGTCTTAGAAGACATAAAGTTTGGAGTAGACCTGGAAGAGGGCCAACTATGTTCGGCCCGGGGCCGGACTTAAGTAAATTTGAAAGGGAAGGCCCAAGCAGAAGGAACCTTAAAGGGGAAGGGCAGGGCCGAAACGTTGGGATTCGGCCCAGCCCTTTACAGGTCGAGTTTGGGGGGGGGGGGCTTTATTGAGGTTTGTAATGGCGTTAAAAATTTAGTAAAAAATTTTTTAAAAATTGAATTTTTGGGTAAGAATTATAAATTTTGAAACTTTAATTTAGGCATTTAGAAAAAAAAATTTAGTTAGCTAATTTTTAATTGATTTTAACTTCTCTGGATTAACTAATACTCTAGAAACATGTGCTATAAATATTTTTTAATTGAATCCTTTAAAATTGGTTTTTAAAATAAAAAAATCGATTTTTGTCATTTTGATAACACTTTCTGGCCTTTCATCTCATCCCTACCCTAACGTACCAAGAATTCGAATTTGTTGTTCTTTGGCACCAAATCATGTTCTCAAGGATTAATTTTTAATCATTCGAACTAACCATTTTACACTTTATTCTTAAGCTTGAGGAAGTGCTGCTCGAAATACCCACATTCTTTAATGCTGGTCTAGTCGCAATCTTTTAAATTAAAGTTTTTGGGTGTTAAATATTCTGTTTGATTACTAAATTAGGATACGTTTCATTTTTTGTTGCATAGGGGACTGGGTCGTGGCTAGGGGGGGGAATGCTACATAGTTACGGTGGAAAATTGGATTTTTTCAAAAATGGGTGCACAGGTACGGGGAGAGAAAAAGTTAGGCTGTCTTACCTTACCGCACCATACTCTAATTTTTTTGGCTATTTTTCCTTTTAGGGGATTGCAAGTTGAAATTGAGTAGACTAAGGCTGGCAGATATGATTTTTTAGGAGGCGGTAGGCTTTGTGAAAAAAATTTGTAAGGTTAAATGGCCCATCTTGTATAGATTTTTAAAAAATTTTACAGATTTTTGAGTTTTTTCCTTACCATTATTTGTTTAAGAGTGTAACATATACGAGGTTTCATATGAATGTAAAAGAAGGCATAAGTACATGTTTGACGATATAATCTATGTTATACTTTTAGAGTATTCCTAAAAGGGCAGTAGACTAAAAATTCACATTTTTGGTTTTTTAGTAGTGTTACGTTATAAGCAAACCTAAGGGTAGGCTTAATATCCGGCCTAAATATGAACAGAACTTGGCTTTCTTTAGGCTGGACTAACTAAAAATTGAAGGTGGATTTGGCTGGTAGCTTAAGATGAAGTAATGGGCAATTATTTTTGGTTTTTTGAGTCAAGTGTTGCTTTTTATTCTTTTAAAAGCTATACTCAACGTTACCTTAACCTACCTTAGCCTACATTACTCTGCCTTTCCCTACCTTGTCTTGTCTACCCTATTTTAACTTATCCTACCCTGCCTTATACTACTCTACTCCTCACCCTACCCTAAGCTATCCTACCCTATCATACCGTACCCTACCTTATCGTACTGTGTCCTACTCTACCTTACCTTACTCTACTCTATCTTTATGAATAGTATTGTAGTTGTGTACCCTTTGTTTATTTTCTTTCGATCACTTTTCAATTTGCATCATATTCCCACTCTAACAAAATAAAACTTCTGACGTAGTGGAAAGTGCAACCTTGTTGCAAATGTTCATGTTTTAAACGTCAGAAACGTGGCTTCAATTCAAAAACAAAAAAAAACGCGAATTGAATTTATGAGAAGCGAAGAAAATAAAAATGTATTAGCTGATGTCTTTTTGAGGAGGTCAAAATGAAGTTGGGCAGGGGAGGGTATGGGGATTCACTTACCGACCGATGACAACGTTTAGGCCGAAAAATGAAGGGTTTTTGAAAGGTTTTTGATTGCTTTCGAAAAGGGCAAAAGTTTGGGGAAGGCGCGGCAGGTGCAAATTGAGGTCACGTGCTGGCTATAATAAGGAAGTCTGACTGGGGGTGAATAAGATAAAGATGGCTTTTGTTACATTTTTCTTATTTTTACTGTTTTTCTAAGTTTGAGGAATGATTAAAAATTTTAGTAAGGGTAGCTAGGGTGGGCGTTATTTTAGTAAGAGAGGTGGACGAGATGTTAAAGGAGGGGGGGGTGGGTAGGTAAAACAATATTTTAGATTAGAGGGCAGATCATGTACAATTTTTTCAAAAAATACTTTGCCTTGGCTTATACTGTGCTGGCTTGCCCTGCCCAGCCCGACTTTTCCTGCTTTATCCTAGCTTATCCTGCCCTATCCTGCACTGTCTTGCCTCGCTTAGCTCGGCTCTTTCCTATAGGGCCTTACCTTACCTTTTTCTACCCGGCCCTGCCCTACCCTAGACTGCTTTACTCTGCTTTGATTTATCCTACTCTGACCTACCCTCAGCTGAATTTCTCTACTCTACCGTACTCTACTCTATCTTACTCTAATCTACCTTGCCTACTCTACTCTTGCATTCAATCTAATGTACAGTTTTTCAATGATTTTCATCTTTGTTTGTTGAACAGTTCACTTCATTTTATTTTTTTTAATTCTCAATACCAAATTTGGACTATCAAGCTAAACTTAATTCCAAGTTTCTAAAGACGGCTCCGCGTGCCCTTTTTGAATTTGTATTTAAATACGATTTAAAAACAAGTAATTCGTTTTATTGGTTTTGTGGTTTTTCTCCTCGAATTTTCAATTTAACGTCCAAAGATCTTATCAAATAATTTGAGTTTTTCGTTCTTCATTACACTTCAATGGGAATGTGGTTGGGTATGAACAAGGACGTACGTGCATAATCGGGGTTGTTTGGGTGATTAAGCAAAAAAAATATTTTTGAGGAGGATCATTAAGATTGCAGGATTGAATTATTGAAAAAAAATTTTTTACAGTGCGTCTTTAATTTGAAATTTTGTAGTGTTTGGTTGTTTTTCTTGCGGCATGATGGTAGCGTTGGGTGGCGTATGGTTTGGTAGGGCAAGGCAGGGTGGGGAGGGTAGGCTATGCTAGTGTAGAATAAAATACAGGTTTTTGTAGGGTATTGGAACAAAAAGGAAGTCTATTTTCTTTAGCCGTCTTTTTCTTTACTCTTTTAGCTAAAAAATGCTATAATCACACCGCTTTTAGTTACAGTAAAACTTCTTTAGTATGACTATCAATGCCTCTGTGACACGCTTTTTATAATGACAGCTTTTTCCGCCATTCGTAATATAATAAAACCCCTATAAAAAATTAATTGGGTAGTGTGACACACTGATTATGAGGACATGTTTAAACCAGTTCTTTAAGTGATATTCTAGAGAGATTATTAGGTTTACATCGACATACAGTGGACTCTTTGTATATAACAAAGATTCCACTATATGTAGACCTAAAGATTTGTTATTGGTGTATAACAGATCTTTAGGGAATTTGAAGGTTTCTGATTGTACGGGCGTTTTATTATACAGAAGTAACACTGTAGTTATTTATCTAAACAAAAGATTAACCAAACGTCATTATACCCTTAATCATCATGCGTGGAGTACATACTAATTTCTACAACATCTGACCTACCAAATAAAAAAAATATGTTAATTAGAAGGCTAAGCCGCATTGTGAATCTGTGTTTTTCACATTGACACCCGTTCCAATTTAAATAAACAAAAGCGGGAATCGTCTCATTTTCGTGGCGTTTTATAAACTCTTTAATACTGTGAACGATTTTTTTCTTCCAGGATGATGGCGAACGTGCATTAACTTTTTTCGCAAAATTTTTGCACTGGTGTCGGGTTGAGGACGACTAAAGGATTTTGGTTGTTTGAATTTTACTGGTGCTACTTGTTTGATTTGTGAATTCTTTCTTTACCGAGAACTTTTTTTTACTTGGAGGGCAGTATTTATGTTACAAAAGCCTATGGTCACTTTTGGACAGTGCATGTGAAGTCTTTTGTTTCCTCATAAAGACTGCTTTGGCAATAAACAAGTCTACTAAAGTTTCTACTTCAACATACGGACCTTTACAACTATTATCTTTAAAGACTTTCTGGTTACGACCGCTTACTCTGCTTTATCATTGCTAAAAAGTCTACACATCTCTCTCAACAGTAGACGGATAAACATCTCTAGCTACTGCTACCATAATCCTGCTGTACTGTAACTTACAAACCACAATAAAGCCGACAAAGCCGCTACAATCGACTACAAAGCTGACTGAAATCACCCCTACACCACCTTCAATCAACACTCTTAACCATGTGGCGTCAACGCTTGAAGACGCTTTTCTGGAAAGAAAAGTTTATTTTGTGGATCACCGTCGTATGCGGCTTCTGTATTCAAGTCGGCGATGCGTCAAGATCAATCTCAATCCCCATCTACATCGAAAAACGACTGAATGCAGGTCGTGAGGTGTACGACAAACATTCCACGCCTACTCAGGCTGATGGTAAAAGTTCGTTGTTTTGCTTGTTAATACTAACCAGCTAACCCATGTCAGAGTTGGTTAGAGTGTAATTGAGGTTATTTTAGGTACACCAACAGTTGTTAGCTTGTCCATGTATATTGAAGGTATCAGTTCGTTTCGTACCCAAACCATGGACTTTCAACTGGACGTGTACTTTCAACAGTTTTGGAGGGATTCGAGGTTGGCGCATAATGAGTCAAAGTAGGTATTATTATCTATCTACGATTGTTTTTAACTTTGTTAAAAGTATCTAACAAAAGGGGCCGGGACGAGCTTATTTTTTCGACCTGCCCTGGCTTTCTACAAACTTTCATTGCGGGACTAAAGCTGGATCTAGGGCCCGGAAATTGGGCCTGCGTTTGCCGGCTTTTTTGAAATTCGTTTTGGTTTGGCTAGACCTGGACCCAGGCCTATTAGGACCCCTTTTAGCCTTATTCATAAGAAATGGCACAATGGTCACTCTTCTTATTCTAGGACCATTAAGATTACTCAAAGGTATAAAACATGTTAACGTGAAAACTCAGATTTAAGCCTAAGGACCAGCTTTTTTTGGCAAAATTACATTTATTTAAAGAGGTCACTCACTATCTTCAAATTTTCTCTTAAACAATGTTATACTTGAAAGTTCAAAGAGCAGTCTTTAAAATAATTTGATTTCAGGCGGATTTTAATTCGAGACAAAGAGATTCTACACAAGATGTGGCTTCCTGACGTCTATTTTGCTAACAGGTAATCTGATTATCAGGAAGTGGTACTGCCAGTAAAATGTTTTGTAAAATACGAGCCTTTTTATACTGTTTTTCTTAATTTTTAGTGGAGCTTCTGTATAAAAAACTTCTCTATAAAGAAGACTTTGTATAGGAAACAACTTTTACTATATTGTTGACCAATACTACACAGTGCATTTAAATTTCTCACATAAAAAACTGCTTTAAAATGAAAATACCGTATAACTGACAAATTTTAAATTCACGAAAAATTCGTTAAGCAGGAGCTCTACTATATTAAAAATATGAAAAAAATACTTAAAAACTTACATTTCAGTCGAATTGCTCAGTTCCACGAAGTAACACAGGCCAACTTTTTGTTGTGGATTGAGCCGGACGGGTCTATTTTCTATGATACACGTGTGTCCATGGTTGTTATTTGTGCTATGCAGCTTCATGTATGTTTATCTTAGAGTACAGGTGATAATACTAAAATTATCAGTACCAATTGGAAATTAATTGTCTTTAAGAAGCTAAAATTAATTTTGGGCGGGTGATTTTAGTTTTAAGGTGTAGGTAGGGGGGGGGGTAAAATTTTTTTTGAAATATTGGAATATTATGACCGTGCTCATAAATGACATTTTTTAAAAATTTATTGAATTTTTAGCACTACCCTCTAGACTCGCAATGGTGCAATCTAAGGATGTTATCATGTAAGTACATCAAACTTTTTACCTATAACAATATTAACATTAACTACCCAAGATACGAGAGTTAGTTTAGCTTCGTTTTCACGAAAAGTTTCAAAATTTTTAGACGCATATGATGTAGAAGAGTTAGTGATAGCATGGATCGACCAAGACCCCATTACACGAAATCCTAACATAACTCTACCTGATATGCAAATTGAAAGACTGGAGCCGGGAATTTGTGACGGTAACTACAGTACGGGTGTGTGGAGTTGTGTAACGGCAGAGTTTTTCGTGTCCAGAGAGATTACACATCACATCATGCAAACATACGTTCCTACGGTAGGTTTTGATACGGGAGGGTAAGGTAGGGTAGGTCTGAGAAGATCAAGATAGAGTAGGGTAGGATGGGTAAGGTAAGTAGGGTAGGGTATTGCTTGGCAGGATGGTGTAGGTTAGGCTATATGTTACTATGTCTTTAGTTTTGATCTTACTTACTGTTATATAATTTTTAGTCACTGATAGTCGTTATCAGCTGGTTTTCCTTCTGGCTAGGTCTTGATGTTGAGGCCGTACCAGCTAGAGTCAGTTTAGCTATCACTACGGTAAGGTATTTTAAAATTAAATAATATTTATGAGGTTGTTCAAGTAATTATGTGCCCCTTCTCAAAGAAAATGTTTGGGGTTAGGGGCACATAATTACTTGAAGATCAAATATCACAATAAAATTAACTTTATAATCTGTGAAAATATTTCAGTTACTGACGTTATCAACGCAAGCCAACTCGGTGCGAACGACACTGCCAGAAGTGTCGTATATGAGGAGTATTGACATATTTTTGACTATATCTGTGCTGTAAGTGTTGTTAACTATACATATACATGTCTATTTACGGGGTCAAATGTATATACGTACCTATGTGTACATACTCATGACTTTTAGTAAAGAATAGGCTCATTAAAAAAGTCTTGTCGTTAATTTACGTTTGTTTGCACTGTCAAAAACGACAAAATTATATAAGCGTTGTAAAAGATAATAAGTGGGTATTGATATACTTATACAATAAAATACTCTTGCAAATGCTCATGTATTACATATACTAGGTATGTACTTTCAGATTTGTATTTGGAGTAATGATAGAGTTTGTGGTAACAAATTACACTCAACGTAAAGGTAAGCCCTTATTGCTTGCGCCATTTTTAACCCGGTTTTTCTATTTTTAACCTTTTATTTTTAACTTTCCACCGTGCCGTTATATCCGCGTATTGGTCTATAACAAGGTATGAGCGTTTTCAAACATTTTCTCGGTGTTTTTACTTACATTTTTCATCGTATCTTGCTTGTAGTGGCTTTTTAGTTCATAACATATGTTGTACTTGATAGTCCTATTGTTATGGGAGGCGTCGTTATATATTTTTGGGAGGGGCGGGGGTGAGCTAGTGTAGGAGAAGCTAGGGTAAGAAAGGGTAGGGTAGGACAAAGCAGAGCAAAGAAGGCCAGGGCGGTACAGTGCAAAGCAGTGCGGTGCAATTTAAGGCAGAGTATGGTAGAATTTTGTAGAGTACGGTAAAATAGAGTACGCTAGGGTAGAGTAGGGTAGTGTAGGGTAGACTAAAGGAGGGCAGGGCAGATCATGTTGGGGCTGGTCACATCAGGTCAGAGCAAGGCAGGGTAATGTAAGATAAGTACGTGAGTAGTAAGAAATACTTGAGGGTAAGATGCGATTGGGTAGGGTAGCGTAGGGTGAATTAGAGCAGTAGGGTTCATTTGAGTAGGGTAGGATTCCTCATCTCTCCACCCCTCCTGATCTCTTAACGACGCTTCTGGTAGATATAATAACTAAAGTAACTAAGTTCTTTAAATAATTCTGGGCCTCTTCTCAAAGACATTTTTTAAAGTTATTGGCCACAGAATTACCTTAACAACCTAATACTTGAGATGTAGATTAAAATTAAACCCATATATAGTGATGTGATATACTATAAAAGGTTAAGACTGAACATGAAAATAACTTTTTGTTTTCAGCGATAGAAAAAATTGCAGCTCGAGCATGCGCCAATATGCAAGATGAGAATGTGAAACAACTACCACAGAAACACAATAGTATTGCCAATGCAAAGGATCTAAGCTCCAAAGCAAGGAACTTCATGGGACGCATCTTCAGAACTTACACTGATCAGAAGAACCTTATTGATGTAAGTTTAGATTTTTGAATCTTTTTTTTTGTGCAGGGATCAGATTTTAGAAATTTTGAAAAAAAATTTTTAATTTTCGAAAAATTTTAAGTGAAATTTTTCAAAAAATGAAAAAAAAATATTTAGAAACCACTTTGTAAACATGACGTTGCTTTTGTTTATTTACATTTTTTTCGAAACCAAAGTACGAAGTTTTTAAAGAAGCATCCTCTGATAATCACGTACAAGTTCAGAGCGAGAGATTTGGTATTAAGGAAGGGGTGGGAAGAGAAGAGGAAAAATGTTGGCGGTATAATAAAATACAAAAAAATTAAATTAAGGGGACCCTAAAGAAAGCAGAAGTATGTGTACTGTAAACGTGAATTCCGAGCTCTATATCGCTTTTTCCTAACGTATCTACGTACTCTCTCTATATAAGCAACCCGAAGGGACCAATATTTTGTGTTTACTAGGGGGTGTTGTCTTTACTTTTTAGTGCAAATTCACTTGGCGGGGCCAAATTTCTTGTTCACTATAAGGAGAGTTGCTTATACAGATGGTTTACTATATAGAGAGGCCACTGTACTAAAAAATTGAAAATTAAAAATTTTTTTTTGAAATTATATTTTTAACTTTTACACCATTCAGTAGCAAAAAATCAAAAAGAATTTTCAGATGCAAGATTCAAATGGAATTCAACCGAATGACACGATTCCAATGAGGCATAGACATAGTGACGACCCCAGGATACGACACTACTGGACTACAACACCTCCATCAAATGCTGCTGATGAGCAATCACTAGCTTCCTGGGCTTCATTACGAAGACATCGGGGAAGGGTTATGACTAATGTAGGTTTTTTGCGCTTATAGCAGGATCTTTATACTGTTAGAGTAGGGTCGTGCTTTATATGTTAGAGTAGAGTAAGATACAATAGGTAAAAGTACAGCACAGTAGGCGACTGTAGGGTATGATAGAGTAGAGTATATTGTATACAATGCATATTTTTCAGTCCAATGGCCAAGTCCAATCGGTGATAACATCCCAGCCGCCAGAGTACGATCATCAATGGAGAGAAAGAGAAGCCGAAAGGCTAGCTAACTGGTCCAGGCCAGAGTTAAGTTGTGATGGACTGATGGACACCAATAACAGAAACTATTGGAATAACAATAACGAAAACACTCGAGATTCGAATGTTGATCAAACTTTCAATGAGAACACCACATCACCGGCTAAAAGCACAGTCAGCGGGGCTTTGAAGTGGACTAGTGTTATCAGGCAGATCCAGAAGAGCAAGTAAGTCATTTTTTTAAATTTAATACAATTAAATTTTTTTTTAAATTCACGATGTTTTAGTGGCGTATTTTACAGATAAAAGTAATTTATGAAGTTTATGCAGAATGTAACAAAAGGTATGGAAAAATGGACGAAATGTCACAAATTAAAATGGCTTTTTGGGAGCAATAAAACTTATTTTAATACGTTTTTCTGATTAAAAATAGTATAATTTAATGATAGGTTTCGAATTAAAAAAAATTGACGAAATGTCAAAAACTTCATTGGAAAAGAAGAAGAAATGTCATAAATTTCAATGATTTTTTATGGGACATAAAACAGGGCTGGGCGAAACAAAAAAATTTTGTTTCGCGAAACACGAAACGAAAGTAAATTATTTTCGTGCGAAACGAAACGAAACACGAAACGAAACAAAATTTACGAATTTATTAAAAAATCTTCATAAAAATCAAATTTTATGCCGTAAATGGGTATTAACCTTAAGGAATAACAAGTTCTGAAGCATCTCACTTGTCATGCTTCTTCGATAGTCAGTCAAAACAGTCCTTGCTGTCGAATTTTGATGTGCTTTATTACAAAAAGAATGTAACCTTTCCTACAAACCGAAATACTTGTTTCGAAAGACTTACATTATCCAGAATATTACGCTCTTCCTTTGCTGGTGCCCCGTCCGCTACAATTTCTTTCCATACGTCCGGGTGTTTCTGTATTAAATGGTGCCGGAAAGAGCTAGTTGAGGAATGATTTGTTGTGTTTCGCACTTTTACCTTACATGTTATACAGACTCCTTCGTTAAAAAAGGGATTGTATTTCGACATTTGTTTATGCCAAAATATGTTTAAAATTAAAGTAAAAACAATTTTCAACGGTATACAACAGAATGCCAAAAATTTTTAACATTGGTTGGTTTTCGGGTTGAGAAATATTTTTTTTTGTTTCGTTTCCGAAACAAAATTTGTGCCTCTTTCGCGCGAAACGAAACACGAAACGAAATTTTCGCCCAGCCCTGACATAAAACAAATTTTAATACATTTTTAGGCTAGAAATAGCATAATCTAATGAAAATTTTAGAATTTTTACGAAGTGACGAAATGTCAAGAATTTCATTGGACAAGTGGATGAAATGTCACAAATTTAAATGAATTTTAATATCAATAAAATTTGTCTTAACACTTTTTGTAATCAAAAATGGTATAATCTAATAAAAATTTTAACATTTTCACAAAATGACAAAATTTCAAGACATTTATGGGAAAAATAAACGAAATGTCACAAATTTTAATTTGGCTTTGCATTATAAATTTCAATTTCAGAGCCTCACGAAAAGAGTTTGGCAAGATGCAAGCGAAGAAGATTGACGAATGGAGTCGTTGGGTGTTTCCTCTGTCCTATCTGATGTTCCACATCGTCTACTGGAGCTACTATTTATACTGGCATGGTAAAGGCAGAAAATTTTCGAAAGATTGGCAGTGATTTGGTTTGATTTCTCCTTTCGTTTCGTGTAGATTTTTGATTTTGTAGCTGGTGTTGTGGTTATTAGTACTTCTTTTTGTGTAAAAATTTTAAAAAATGATGACATTTTTAGGTAAACGGAAAATTGTTACCTAGACCACTGAAATGCCACAACCGCCACCAAGCTTTGATTTGCTTTGATTATTTTATGATTTTTCTTTGTTTTGCTGTTCTTCTGTTTGATTGAGGTACTGTAATATGGGCGATTGTAAGGTGGGGTAATTTTTATCATGGAAGTGGGGGAGGGGTGGGGGTGAATAATTGTCTGTCGGTTAGGGAAACAAATTTTGAAAATTTAAACGGGTGGGGGAGTCAAACTTTTTATAGGGCTTTTTTATCCTAATACTACCACACACTACCCCGCCATGTCTTACACTACTTACCTTTCCCACCCTACCCTCCTTACCCTCCCTACCTCATTCTATCTACCCTACTTCTACTTACCCCATTCTATCCCAGCCTACCCTACCTGCTTCAGCCTACCTTAACATGTTGTACATGTTTCTCCCCCCTTCTCACACCAAGCAAAAAAGCTTTACGATGACATATTACAGTACTTTATTTTTCATTTTATTAAGCTTCGTTTTCATAAATGCCATTATTTTTTGTTTGTTTTCCAAAAATAGTGACATTTGTAAATGGACGCCTTTTTTAATTACACTTTTATTTTGTAACACAACTTTTACACTCACAATAACATTAACTTTTATTTTTAAAATTAGCTTTTCTAAGAAACAACGATGTAACCTTTCTAAATAGTCGTGTGTATATTACACTTACTTCACCTAAAATAACATTTTTAATATTTGAAACTTATGTTTTTTCTATTTTATTGTAATGGTCGATTGATTACAGTAAATAATCTTTAAAAATATGATAATAGGTATAGGTATCATTTTTAAATTTTTTTGAAAAATTTATATTATTCATGACCAACTTACAAAGACAAAGAAGGTGCTCAACCCTGCTCTGATTGACTTCAAAGTTCTTGATTAGAAAGACCATGTTAATATAACCTCTTCAGCAAATTAATAAATTGCGATTTCTGGCCCATCTTTAGAAAATCGAGATAAAAAATTACATTCTGAGTTTCTCGCCAAATTGGCATTGTGTTTCAAGCTTATAACTTTGTCTTTTTTTGACTTTTAATCATTTTTCTTTGATATACTAGTAAAAAACCTTTAAATGGACCAACATTTTTAAATTTGTAAGCGTCGCTTGTTTGGAAAGTTGAAAAAAGTAATTGAAACACAATGCCAAATTTGTCAAACCGGCGAGGAAACTCAGTTATTTTAAACTGAAAACTAAGAAGCTCGAGCTAAATTTTTTATGGTTGCCATTAGTGTACAAAAAAAATTATAAAAATTTTGAGTCGGGCAGGTTGAGCACTTTTTTTGTTAGTATAATATGTTATATTATTCTTGACTGACTTAGCAAAAAATTAGTTTTTAGGGCTTTTGTAAGTTAAAACAAAAAATTTTAAAATACTTTACGTACGATAATATAAACGCAATATATTATTACGTATTTCTTTGCTTTTTATAGATAACTCATGCAAATATAATGAAATTTGCATAAAATAGCGTGACACTATTTTATTTTTGAACTCTCTAAAGTTTTACCTCGTTTTTCACAAATTTATATGACATAGTCATTTGATATTACGTAGTGACAATTTTTGAGTTTAGTGTTACTTTTTTATGACATTTGTTTTGATAGGTTACAACTTAATTTTGTTTATCACTATTTTAGTTTGCAGTGTAAAGTGTGCCATTTTTAATTAAACGAGTACCACTTTTCACCAGTAGTGCAATTTTTAATTAAACGAGTACTATGTTTGAGCAGTACTGCGCCTTTTAAGTTAAAAGAGTGCCATTTTTAACCAACAGTGTGCCATTTTTTAAAATGGGTGCCACTTTAAAATCTAAAAAACTAAATTTAAAAAAATTTCAGGCAAAATTTTGAAAAACCAATAGACATTTTCGAGTATCACACTAACGGGTTAAACTTGTTTTCCAACGTCCACATCACATCAGCGTTGAGCCAATGTACAAAGACAAAAAAAAACAATAGCAATCATCACTTTGTTGTAAACGCAAATAAATTGTTATTTTATTGAAGTTGGAGGTTTTATAAAGAGGGTGACTACGCTAAAGCTAGGGTTAGAACTAGGAATAGGGCCAACAGTTTGATAAAGAAGATCACTCTTTTACGGTTAATGTAGTGTATAAGTTTTAAGCTGAAGGTAGGGTGCAAAGATGTTTAGGACAAAGCGGGAGCGTTTTGGGCCAAGGCTTGGGCAGACAAAGTATAGCTAACGTAAGGCTAACTAAAGGGGTTGTGACTAAAGATGGTGGGAAGTCTAGGGTTAGGGTAAGGCTCAAGTTCAGGGTCAAGCTTAGGCTGAAGCTTAAAATCAAGCTTAGGGTAGAGCTAAGGCTTTAAAGGACCAGTTCGCCTATTCAAATATCATTGGCATTCTGTCGCAAAAATTCGACGTTCATTTTTTTTGCAAAAAACCTGAGAAGGTCGGTCCCAAATTGGAAAATTCATTTCGACACCGACCCACTCACGTTTTTTGAGAAAAATGATTTTGATTGAAATTGCCTGATTTTCGACGCTTTTTGCGACAGAATGCCAATGATATTTGAATGGGCGAACTGGTCCTTTAACGAAGGCTAAGGCGCAAGCTCAGGCCCGGAATCAATCTAAAACTAAGGCCAATTATAAAGCTACAGCTAAGGCTCAAGCTTAGACTTAGGTTCAAATTCAGGCTCAGACCCAGGATCAATCACAGGCTTATGCTCAAGGTACAGGCTTAGGCTGGAGTTCAGGCTAAGGCTTAAGTTCAGGCTAAGGCAACGGCTAAAGCTATTATAGAATTAAGCTTAAAGTTTTTGTTTGGAGTTGTTTGTCTGGCCTAACTTTGGTTTATTATCATTTTTTTAAATTTTTTAAAGTTTACGTTTTAAACTTATACGTAAGCCTTTTCTTCACACAATCATAATTTATGTAAATAACAATTCAATTCAGGTTCATATGATATAGAAGTTTACAGTTCGTATGTACAACCGAGTGCGCGGAAGGCTATTCGAATAGGTTTGGCGGAGGGTTACGTGGCACCGTGAAGAGCGTTGGTTTGTAGCATCTTTGGTATAGCAATGTTAACATAAGTTAAATAAATAAGCTTTTTGTAGTTGATTAGATGATATTATTAAAGCTTTTATACGATGGAGGCTATCAGTACAGAACCGGACAAGGTACTGTAACTTTATGTAGATTAGCATACTGTAGATAATAGTAGGTTATTATACTGTAGTTATAGTTATATTCATACTGTAGTTGTAGTGGATTTTAATACTGTAAGTAGTACTATATTCGTGCACTGTACTATAGCATATTTTCACGCCATAAGCTGAGGCCTACACTAGCCCACAACCCCTCAAAATACCGTAACCATCTTAGACGGCGCTACGCCGCCAGTAGCCGCGCAACAACGGCGTCACTTCGGTCCGTCGCCACTTCTGTAGCATGTCACGTGTCGTGGGCTTCTTTCTCGACTCCTCACTGACTTCAGGCGTGGGATTCGTCTCAGCATTATCATTGAAAGGTACTGCCTTTACCAACTGCTCGTACTGATTACTGGGCACGTACAATACGCATTGTACAGGCGTGAAGTAGCACTGACGTGAACGTTGAGATTTCGAGTTGGCTGGTGCACGCCACGCAGCGTTCGGCGTTGATTCGCCACGCTGGAACAGTGGAACAGACCGTGGCTTGAAACGTTGTGTTGGCAGTGAGGGAGCGGCGGGCAGGTCCTGAAAAGGCATTTATTAATAGTAAAGCGGATGTAAAATAAATTTTTTTTGTTGTTTTATTTTGAGCTACGTAGTCAATACTAAACAATTTTAAATTAAATCTAAATTCCAATTGCCCTAAAGCTTTTGTTTGTTTAACCCACGCGAAATGTCTATAAAAAGGCAATGTTAAGATAATTGTACTGTAATAAAAAAAAATTAAAAAAGATAATCCGACTATACGTAAATTGCCCTCTTACGTTATGTATCTAGGCCCAGGCTGACGCTAAGGCTAAGGCTGACGCTAAAGCTAAGACTTAAAAATTATTTAAAATAAAACAAAAATTTTTTAAATATATGATTTTTAAAAACCTTACCGTATCAAGCATCGTGTCATCGGCCCGTCGCTCTTCGCGGCCAAAGACGGTTTTGGGCAGTAAAAAGAGACGTTTCCTCATCGCCTCCTGTAGCCTTTCGTTCTCGGCCAACGTCATTGTGATCAGAGATAACAGCGCCACCACCGTGTTCCAACCCAACATGATAACTATGATGTGTGTAGTCCTAAATGGCAAAAATATTTAACATTTTAAGAATTTCAAGTTTTTGAAAAAGCACGAACGAGAAAGTGAAAAAGTGCAAAAATGGTACCAACTATACAACTTGGACAAAAAATTAAAAAAATTTTTTTTTTGTAAAAATTTTTAAAAAATGCAAGAAAAAACAGTTTCACTATAAATAATATTCAAAAATGGCACTACGTATTAGTACCAGTAGTACCATTAAAAATTTTTTCAAAGTGGATTTTAAAAGAATGGCAAAAATTAATTGCACGGTACATAAAAGTAAAACCGGGCAATGCATAGCTCTTACCAAGCCTCACGTTAGCCTTTGTCTTACCCTGGCCAAACCATATACCTATTCATGTCCTACTCTAGCCAAGCCATAGAGCCCTACATTTTCACTACTAAAAGTACAGTAACTTTGCCCAACCTAATTCTCTAACTTAATGCCCAAAACCCCCTTCTCATTGTCTGGAAGCTACATCTAGTCGTTATACTAATAGGCGTTACGTAGTTTATACGTGTAATAGCTTATCCCTAGAAAATGTCTTAGTTTACCCGTATTTTTAAGACAATTTACTTTAAAAAATAAACAAAAACAAAAAACGCGACAAAATCTGCAAAAAAAGAGCAAATTAAATTGTTCCCAACTCTACGTTACGTAGCTAATGAGGGATTGTTTCTTTGACGAAACACTTTGAAATTACATTTGGTGGGGATACTGTGTAACATTGGAGAGTTGTATGGAGCAATAAAAACACAATTGTTGTAAAAAACGTGTAACGTAAAATGTCACTTTTCTGGTAAAGTTAATAGTCATCATCAAAGCCTAGAGGTAAGGAAGCGAAGTGGACAAAGACAGAGTAAAAGTACATTATGCAAACTTGTGACCTACCCTAGCCTTAGACGTAGTCCTTTGCATATAACAAAGTACAGCTTTAGGCTTATCCCGAAATGAGCTCTAGGCATGGCCTTAGACATAGCCCTAAGCAGAACTTGGAACATAAAATTAGGCATGTCCCTAGCCTTAGGCATAACCCTGGACATGCTTTTAGAAGAAGCCCCAGACATGGCCCTAAGCATGATCCTAGTCATAGCTCTAGACACAGTTTTCAGCCCACGCCTAAAAGCGGAGCTCATGGCATAACGCTAGAGTTAAGAAAAGACCTATGAATACCCATAACCCTAACCGTAGCCTAAACCCTATGTAGAGACCTATCTATAATCCTAAGCATGGCCTTAAGCATAGCCTACGGCATAACCCTAAGCATAGCCCTAGCTATAGCTCTAAGCATAGTCATAGCACCAAGCATAGCTCTAAGAATAGTATTACAGCTGGATATTGGCCTGGCTCTAAGCGTAGCTGTAGGCATAGAGCACGTATACGTACCTTCATGTATACTTCATATAAAACGACAACAGCACTATTTAATATTAACAAAATGATCTTATTTCAAAATCTTTTTTCATAAATACACGTACTTTTAACTATAATATATCAAATTACAAAAATTGTGGCAAGAAAAGACCTAGAAGTCTTACAGTACCACTAGAAACGTTGTTACAAAACTAAAGCCTTTGTTTTTCAACAGAACTCAGCTACGTATTTCTATTCGAATTAGGATTGAAAACCTCCTTTTATAATATTTTAAATTGCTACGTAACTCTACACAATACAGAAGCCTTATTTTGAAGGGTGCAATTTACAAAAATTAAAAAAAAAGAATTTTTATGATTAGACTGTTGCTGTTCGTGACATGTTTCGGAAAACAATTGTCATTTTGTACTCTTCGAAATGTACTTAAAACCAAAACATGTCACAGAAATAAGGAAACAGTAATCGGAAAATGATCTTCGAGTTACCGTAACAAAACAATTTCCTAAATTAATTCACAAAAACTCAAAATTTTTGAGCTTTTCCTTGGTTCTCTAAGGAACTTAAAAACAGTACACTACCCCACCTTATCCTACCACACCTTACTGTAAACTTCTTTACTCTACCTTAAACTAACTTACCCTACTCTGCCATACCTTACTCTACTATACCCTACTCTACCACACCTTACTGTAACCTACTTTACTCTACTTTACACTACACCCTTTACTTTAACGATAATTCTACATAGCCTTGCTTTAACCCTGCACAAGTCTTGTAATAGCCCACCTAGACTTATACTTATAACTGACCAAAAATGATTTAACGATTAACGACAAGTTTAAAAAACCAGCCACGCACCATCAGTGTTCAACATGAAAAACAATGGCGAACGTGGGAAACAGCATGTTACGTAGATGTTGCTGTCACGTAAAAGACAAAACACCTACCCAAAACTTCTCAATCTATTAAAAAAACATTAAAAAATTTAATTTAACCACCAGGAAGCGTTTAGTAATAAAAGTACAATAAAATGGAAAAAGCAGTTCTTTATTGCCCTACCTTATCCTACCCTACCCTACCCTACCCTACCCTACCCTACCCTACCCTACCCTACCCTACCCTACCCTACCCTACCCTACCCTACCCTACCCTACCCTACCCTACCCTACCCTACCCTATCCTATCCTATCCTATCTTACCCTACCCTACCCTACCCTATTTTTCTTCTCTTTAGTCCTATCTACTCTAACAATAAATAAAAATATTTACTTGTGTATCAGTTAATTAAACCTAAACTAAATAGCTCTTACTGTGCTATTTCTCCTTCACGTAAAAATTAAAACAGATACAAAGTAGAGAACAGTAACAATAAAGCAAAATTCTAGACATTTTATACTTTTGGAAAAGGAAGTTTTTAAAAAGTGCCAAGTACATTATTATTCACCGTGACTTTTGTAAAGATAACTACAAAAAATTAAAAAGGCATGACAATACAGGTTATAGCACATGGCTATATTGTACCTGAAAGTTAGTTTTTAACTACATACGTCTATAAATTAAATGTATAGCTATAATTTTTTTTAAATTTTGTTATGTTTCGCTACATTATTGTTAGATATTTACATTAGTTGTACGTCAGTTATATAATAGTAAGCATAAAGATCATTTAAACTTTTGTACGTGTAACTGTATAGTCCAATCAAGGTACGGTAGAATAGAGCAGATTAGGAGAGTTAGGCAGAGTAAAGTAGAGCAAAGTAAGATGATACAGAGTAGAGTAATATATCGTGGAGTAGGGTAGCGTAGCGCAGAGTAGGGTAAGGTAGGGTAGGGTAGGGTAGGGTATGGTAGGGTAGGGTAGGGTAGGGTAGGGTAGGGTAGGGTAGGGTAGGGTAGGGGTAGGGTAGGGTAGGGTAGGGTAGGGTAGGGTAGGGTAGGGTAGGGTAGGCTAGGGTAGGGTAGGGTAGGGCAGGGTAAAAAAAGCCTTAAAATCGCACTAAATTTACGATGCAATAAAAGTATGCTATCCTTACTTTATTATAACATTGTAGAAATCCAACATCATTACGTTTTAAGAATTGAAATTCGCTTAATGAACAAAAGTTAATTAAATCGTTGTGTTTACATTAGAGTTTGTATAGCAAGTGTTTACACTACATTTAGTGTTTACATTACTCACTTTACTTGGGGCTTCTAGTTGTACACTTGAATTAAAACATTGTATAACGGGTACAAAACTAAAATGAAAAAAAAATTTCAAAAAAAACAAAAATTTTTGAAAAATTACAGTACTTCTATGCACAAAGCTACAAAAAAGTGTTTATATACATTCATACCAAATCCCAAAATCACGTTGAGGTAATAAAGTGTAAAATGTCACTTTCCTTTACTTACTACACCAAAAAAAGTTACACGAGGTAACATAGAAGTATTAGTCTAGGATAAGCTTTCCTATCCTGCATATACTAAACACAACCCTCTAATACCACAATGTTTACTTTCCTGGCTCGTTTACGTTTGAATTTATTTACATTTACACAAAATGTAGAGTAAATAAAAAAGAAAGTTAATTTCGTTGTATAGTAAAAGGGTTAGAGAATATTGTAAGGTAGTATTAGCCTAGCCTCCTCTAGCTTACACTGCTACTCCTACCCTAACCTGCATTGGCTTGCACTGTTAAGTACGCTGGTCTTACACGTTTTTCAGAGGCAATCTGCCGCTTGACCCTCATAGTGCACTACACTAGAACCTACCACTATATATATCCCCAAGCCCCAAGTGCAAGCCAAGGTAAACAATTTGTAAGCAATATAAATACCAGGTAAAAGATCAAAACATAACAAAGGCTACGCCCTCTACAAACTCATGTCATAGTAAACGATTACCTACTTATAGCTTATAGAGAATAATACATCCGTTAAAACACGATATTATAATATAATATTATCCTATTGTTTCGAATTTTGAATGAAAATGGCATTTTTAAATAGAACCACAAAACATAAACAATTGGCATACTTTTTTTCAAAAAACACAAAATCTGAAATTTTTTTCTGAGAACAGATAAATTGCATAACTTTTGTTGCCAGAATTAATGGTAAAAAATGTTTTGTCGTTTTAAACAGTGCAAACCCTTGTTTAAAAACGACAAGACTTTTTTTCACGTATATACAAAAAGTGCCAAAACTATTAAGTTGTTCAAATAATACTGTGCCCTTTGTCAAAAAAAGTTTTAAATCAGAGAGCACAGTATTATGTGAACAACCTAATAAATCAAAATTGACTAAAAATGAGCACAAAGCCCAAGCCAGTGACATTACATACACCGTACTACCAAGATCCACTAAATTTTTTAAATTTTTCATGAAAAACACTTGAAATGTCACCAAAAGCCATTGTATATGCATTCCGCATATGCCACATCCGATGAGAGATTAAAAACTCTCCAATGATAAAGATAAACAATAGAATTCATCTATGTTGAAGTGATGCCAACTCTCGTGCTCGATTTTTGGTCATTAACTATATGTGCTGGAAACAAAGCGTTGTGTCATATACATAACCGAGTGCTTATGTTCTCACACTATTGTGGTACAAAATT